ATGAGGCGGTCCTGGTGCGTCCCGCAAGTCGCTTTCCTACGCTCTGGACTTCCACTCGCCTTTCGCAGCTCGCTCTCAACGCCGTCGCTCGTCATCGCAAGGAAACGTCGTCCCACTACGGCCTCGACTCCTCCTCGATCCCCTCAGAACCCTGGTCATCCCGTCCGCTGCTTCTCGACAGCCTGCAGTGGCACTTCGAAGCGACGGATGGTCTTCTACGCGAGCGAGTGCGCGAGCTGGGCGCGCGAGTTGACGAGGAGCCGGCGCGGTTCGGTCGGAGAAGCAGGCGTTCCAGGCAGAGCTGAAGACGCAGATGGCGGGCGTTGCGGAGTATGTGTTCGCGGCGTTCGAAAAGCGGTTGCTGTACCTCGAGACGTGCGTCGGCGGTCCTTCTCCTCGAGTCCTTCGTCGCTGACATCGCTATCGAACAGCGTGAACGGCGACGCACCAGCACCTGAGCTGCGGCAAGTACGGGAACGGTATATCGAGGTCCGGCCACGCTTCATTCGCATGCTGGGTGAGTCGCCCTCCTACGCTGACTACTGAAGACGGGCTGACTCGTTTCTTCCAGTCGCGATCGGCAAGGTCGCTGCAGCGTACGAGCTCGGCGAACGACACCACGACTTCGACTCGCTCGTCCACCTCTCGAACGACCCGACTCACGGCTCATCGTCTCGCTCCGCTCGTACCTCGACCAGTACCGCCGGGACTTTGCCTTCCCGCTGTACCGCTTCTACCTGGACCAAGGTGCGTGCTTTCGAGTCAGCATAAGCTCTCGTGCTGATCTTGCTGTGCCATTAGGCAAGCTGCGGACGCTGCTCGAGCCGGAAGAGGCGCATCGCCCTTTGCTTACCGCTTTCCTCGACTCAACCGACAGTAACAGTGCGTCGCTGTGCTTCTCTCGCATGCGAACAGCAGCTGACGCGTCACGCAGAGCTCGCTTGGATCAAGGACGTCGCCATCGACCGCTTCGACCACGCCAGTCTCGCGCTCTCGACCGAGGCGGTTGAGGAGCCGTCAGTCGCGACCAAGAAGGTGTGCCCGCTCAGGCGTCTTACCACCGCCCATGTCGCTGACTTTGGCGACCTCCTGCAGCTCATGCTGTCACTCAGCAAGCTCGCGCAAGCCGCGCAAATCGACCAGCTGGCGCTCGAGGGCGAGGAGGTGCAGCGAGCGCTCGTAGGTGAGCTAGCACGTGCGGTGGCTGTCCTCGATGCTTGGCTGACGGGCTTTTTGACGCAGCTGTCGATGACAATTTCGACCTCGTCAACACCCAGCAGAACCTGTCGACGTTCTTCAGCTCGCTCCTGTCCGGCACCGAGGTGCGCATGCCGTCGACGGAACAAGGCGAAGTTGTCGCTGCCCGTATCGCTCCCGCCCTCACCGATCGACCGGCGCTCACCTGACAGCTGGCGAGTCTCTGCGCGCGAGTTTTTGCAGACGAGGCGATCTCTCCCGAAGGCCTGATCGACATCCTCTCGCCTAAGGAGAACAACAACGAGCATGCGAGCGACTTTGCCGCCAGTCTCGACGTGCTGTTGTGAGCGAAGGACTAGCCGGATACTCGTCGGAGGGTTGCGCTCGAGAACGTCTGGCGGCGGGTGTACACCCAGGACGAGTGCGTGCGAATACCCGAGCACGACATGGACTTTCCACTGACGCTTTGCGTCGCAGCTGGGCGGCACTGCGGTCTTCAGCGGGCCTGAAGGACGAGGAGATGGCTGCGGCTCTGCGCAACACGGCTTTCTACGCTACGCTTGCGGCAGCTCGCAAGGCTCGTGAGTTATTAGCTTGCTTCGCTCTGGGCAGTACTGACGTCCGCCAATGCAGGTCAACCACAAGACATGCTGCTCGAACCGTCCCGCAGCTTCTCTTCCGCGACACCCGACGAGCTCGCCGCTCGCTTCCCTGATCTGCCGTTGTCGACCATTGACGCCTTAACGGCGACTACGAGCAGGAAGGCCGATTGCTAAACGAGGCGATGCAAGCCGGGTTGGAGGCCTGCTGCAAGGAATGTGTGCGGCTGCTGGATGAGGAGCAGGAGGGCGCATCCACTCAGGAGGAACTCGGTGGCTCGGCAGTGATGGTCGAGTAGCGGCTGCAGCTGTGGAACGAGCAGATGACCTTGAACAACATTCAGCGCTTCTGTTGTGCACGTCTAAGTCCCTCTCCCGTCCTTGTCCGAGCAGTATGCTGTGGTGCTGCGCTCTAGGAAGTAGTTCCACGTTCAGCAGAACGTCGTACGTGTGCTGGGGATTTGTTTCATGGCGAGCGAGAGGGGGGGAGAGGGGAAAGAGAAGCGGAGGCGACGGTTCTGCGGGTGGCGTCCGGCAGGTTCGACGGCTTCGGCGCCGCAATGGATTGGAAAGCATCTGATGTGAGCTGCAGGGCTCGTACAGCCTGTCCAGAGGCCCTCGTCTGGCGGTAAGTCCTCATCAGTCCGAGGGAGGAAGCGAGGGGAGATAAAGCGAGGGAAGGTCACTGGGACTCGCATGACCGGCTTCGCTGAGGCGCTGAGCTATCTGAGGACCAGCTGCAGTCGTCGCAAGCTTGCTAGTAAGGCGAGGCGGGAGCAGCAGCGCAATGTCGCTGGCGAGGAGGCGAAGTGGCTGGTTTCCCTCTCGCCATTCACGCTCACATCATAGTCTCGCTGATTCTGCGCTTGCTTACACTGCTCAGCATGCCCTCTACGGCGTCCACTTCGTCTCACGATCCTGCTCCCGCTCCTCCGCCTCCTGACGAGCGGATGCCTCTCTCCTCCGTCCCCGACTTGACCAAGTTCTTCCCGCCGCTGATTCAGGACGCCATCTGCGCCGAGATGAACCGAGGTGCTGATGGCGTTTACTACGACGAGTTTGAGCAGCTGTACTGGATGTATTCGGGCTGGGAGGAGGTACGGGAGGCTTTTGAGCGCGTTTGGCGTCCAATGGCCGTCGAATGGGAAGAGTTTCGACGCCGGCAATCGTTTGTCCGCAGCTTCGGGAATGCACAGGCACGGGCAGCGCTGGCGCACGAGTATTCCGGCCTGATCGCGGCAGCAACGCGGATGTCTCTGCTACGGCAGGGACCTGCTGGTCAGTCCAGCCTCTAGATGCTGGAGAACCAGCCAGAACTGAGATTCTCTGCCGTAGGACTCGCCATCCTCCGTCAACGGCACTTCGCCCGGCACCCGAAACTAAACTACGCAAGGAGGCTTACTTCGCTTCCCTCCCTGCATAGTCGCCGCGATACATTGCAGCGAATCGCGGAGACGCTCCGAAGCTCGGCACACAAGCTTACGGGATACCCAGTACTCGGACTATAGCGGAGTGGGGCGAGATGCAGCTCTCGATGAGGAGCAGGAAGGCAGTACGGGGAAGGAGGGGCTGGGTGGCTCGGCTTCGTTGGTTGAGTAGCTTCTGACAGCACTGGGATGACAAGCGGGCTTGGTCTAGCAATGCGCGTTCAGGCGTTGCCTTTCCTCCTTCCCTCGTTTCCACACGAAGACCGCGTCGTTCCCGCTCTTTCGCTGCCAACTCGAGTCCAAGCGTCCCGATCCCCGGATATGTCGTGCGTTCGCGCGCTGCGACATCTGGGAGAAAAGGAGGAAAAGGGAGCGGCGGTGGTAGATTTGCGGGCGCGTGTAAGCAGTTTCAGTTGTGGCGTGGCAGCGGTCGATTCAAGAGCATCAACGGTAGGCTTCGGCTGCGGGACAGCTCCTCGCAGGCTCCTCGCCCATCGAGAGATCCTCATCAGTTCGAGGAGGCCAGCGGGTCGAGGGGAGAGGGGGGCGGGGATAAGGAGGCGCGCATGCGGGTGCGGCAACTTCGGAAAGTATGCGAGAAGCTCCTGCAGCGATAGTAAGCCTGCTCGTAGCGTGAAGCGAGGACAGCAGCGCAGTGACGGCGGCGAGGAGGCCAAGTCGCTGGTCTCGCTCTCGCCATTCACAATCGCTGCTCAGACTGCTTTGCTGAGACCGTTGCGTGTACGCTTGTGATGCCCCCGACGGCGTCCACGTCGTCCCCCGCTCCCGCTGCTACTCCTCCGCCTCCAGACGAGCGGATCCCTCTTTCCTCCGTTCCCGACTTGGTGAAGCTCTTCCCGCCGCTCATACAAGACGTGCTGGGAGACGAAACAGCCCGGGGAGATGCCGGCGCCTATCACGACGAGTTGGAGCAGCTGTATTGGATGTACTCGGGATGGGAGGAAGTCCTCGAGGACTACAAGCGAGACAGTCAGGATTACACCGCAAAGGAGGAACAGTTCAATGCAGACGAAGTGCGAGCTGCACACGGCACCATGCGGGACTGGGGGCGGGTGCAGGCAAGGCGGCCTCAACTGGAGGAATCGCGGCGCGAGTTGCGGATTCGAGCGCAAGGACCCGCAGGTGCGCTCAGCAGACCCGTTGATCTTCTTAGACCGGTACTGACACGGGGTTCAAAGGGCTCGCCAAACTACGCGAGTCCCACCTTGCCCAGCATCCAATGCTCGATCCAGCCCAACGCCTTTCTGCTTTGCCGAGCGTCAACAGCCGTCGCGGAGGATTCGCTAGACTGGCGAACCTAGTTGCAAAGCCACTACATGCTTTGCTCGGCACTTCCGCCGTCCGCATTTGACGACTGGCAGACGACCTGCCGCAGTCCTCGTCTGCGTCTTCGTAGGGCGCCCAGGCTCCTCCGTCAAGCCCTTTCTCCCTCCCGCGGTCCTGTTGACAGGAGCTTCCCTCTGCGGGAGATCCAGACTCGTGCGGGAAACGGAGAAGGCGACATGGCCCGCGCATTCTCGGGATGACCGGTTTTTAGCGATACAAACGACAGAACGTGTACCTCCTCCTACACCAGTCTCAAGAACAGCAGACACAACAAGGGTATGGAGGTGGAGGGCGAGTGGGAGTCCGCGAGACTACTTGCTAGCGAGGTCCCACAGGAACTCGCTCCACTTGTAGTCGTTCGTCGACGAGTCGAGCTGGACTGTTCGTGCGTCGCGACTGTTTTGCGAGCCTGCGCGAGGGAGTGAGCGTGAGTGAGGCGCGGATTGGAAGCTCGTCGTGGAAGCGAGGACTTACGAACGACGATCTTGGAGTAAATGCCGTTCTCCTCGACAGGAATGAAGCCCATGTCGCGGTACAGCTTGATGCGGAGGCTGCGGGGCCGCGCAGAACGCGTCAACTCGCGCCATCGAAGGAACAGGGATAGACGCTCGACACGCACACTTCGCTGTTGAGGTCCATCGCATCGACCGCCTCCGCCTCCTCGTCCGTCAACTCCTGCTGCAACCGCTCGAGCTCGCCCTGCAATCGGTACACCTGCTGCTCGAGCTCCGAATTGGCCTTCATCTTGCTCAGGCGCGACTGGCGCAAGCTCGTCATCTTGGCTTCGTGCGCTTGTGTTGTTGGATGGGCGGAGGAGCGTTGAGAGGCGAGTTCGGCTTGCTTGTGGTCGCGTGCGATGGCTGGGTTGCGACAGCGAAAGAAACGATGAGTACAAGGCTTTGAAAGCTTTGACTGGCGAAGCTGCGCCCTGCGTTCCCACTCACCTCGCAAATCCTCCCTCGCCTGGTCAACCCTCTCCTTCGCCCTCGCGCGGAACTCCTTCAGCCGCTGCTCCGCATAGACCACCTTCGCAACATCGTTCATCTTGCCGTCGTCGCTGCCGTCGACCGAGAAGATCGAGTGCAGGCCTTGGAGGAGCGACTCGAACTGGTCGTCAAAGTCGTGTTCGGGAGGGATCTCGAAGGTGGACATGGTTGCAGGCGAGCCGTAGAGTGTCTGTAGGCTGGCGGACGGTCAGCACGAGGGGCGAATAACGAACATCAGTCCACGCGAAGCGCGGGTCGATGAACATGGGCGGGTCGCGTCGGCGGGGAAACAAGCGAGCGTGGGACCAGCGCGGGTAAACAGGACGCACTGTAGAGGTTCAGTAAGCGGTCTCAGCAAGCGGTCAAGCGGTGTGAGCGAGGTGAGCCAGGTGTGTGCACGATGTCAACCTGCGCGATCAAGGTCTCGCGGCGACGACAGCGATGTCACGGCCCTTGACAGTCGCAGAGCTGCGAGACGCACTCGCTGCACTCTCACTTGACTCGCGAGGGACCAAGAACACGCTCAAGAAGCGCCTCGCTCGAGCTACTCGCTCACTCTCCCGCTCGTCCTCGCCAGCTCGACCACCCGCCCGCGAACGACAGACAAGACCGCCTGACCAGCTCTTCGACAGCTTCCTTGTGTTTGATGTCGAGGCGACGTGCGAGGAGATTGAAGGGCCGTGGGGGAAGCTGGCTTTTGCGTGCGTTTGCGGTTCCTCCCTCTCTTAGCTCCCGTCCGCACGGCTTACCCGCCCTTGCTTTCCTCTGCAGCTACCCGAACGAGATCATCGAGTGGCCAGTGATCCTGCTTCAATGGAGGAAGAAGCGGCGACGGGACGCAGGGCTTTCCGAAGCGGGTGAGGAGGAAGACGGCGACGACGAGGACGACTGGGAGCTTGTGCAGACGGCCGAGTTCCACTCCTACGTCAAGCCGACTTGGCGCCGGACCCTGTCGGCCTTCTGCACCGAGTTGACGGGCATCACGCAGGTGCGCTGACCTTTCGCGTTGACTCGTCTCTCGCTCGACTGACCTTTCGACGAACAGCGGGATGTCGACTCGGCTCCGACATTCTCGCAACTGTGTCGCAACTTTCACCGCGACTTCATCATCAAGCACAACCTCTTCACAAGTGAGAACAAGACAGTTTGGGTGACTGACGGGCCTTGGGGTGCGTTAAAATCTCTCTCGCGTTCGCTCAGATTGCGAACAAGTGACTGATTGGGTCTCTCCTTGACAGACCTGCGAGACTTTGTCGCCAAGACCTGCTACCTATCCAATACACCTCGACCACCCTGGCTCGCCGGCGAGATTATCGACCTCCGCCTGCTCGTCTCTTCCTTCTTTGCCGGTCTCAAGGAGACGAACGGACCAAGCCAGCTCGACGGCAGCTTGTCGAATGCCTTCGGAGCACTCTCGGTGAACGAGGAGGATCCGCAGACGGCAGCTGCGAACCCAGCGGCTTCTCTCGCCCAACCTCTTCCGACACCCATTGCGGGCCCGCTCTCAGCTTCTTCCGCTGTTCCCATCCCCTCGACTACGACCTCACCCGACCCGCCCGTTCCAGCCTACCTCCCCTCACATCAGCTCACCGCGCCCTCGTCCCTCTCCCTCCCTTCAGTCCTCGACTCCCTCACCCTCCCACCCTTCTCAGGCCGCCTCCACTCCGGCCTCTCCGACGCCCGCAACGCCTCCCGCATCCTGATCGACCTCGCACACCGCGGAGTCGTCTTGCAGACGAATCGGAGGGTTCCGGAGGGCGGGAAGGGAGGGAAGGAGAGGAGGTGGGGGTGGATGAAAGGAGGGGAGGGAGCGAGGAGGGTCGACTGGGAGGGTTTCTTGCAGAAGGAAAGGGCGAGGTTGAGTACGAGGGAGGCGGAGAGGGCAGTCGAATTGGCGCAGAAGAGGCTAGGGTGAGGCAGGACGAACGTGGGAGAACCGTACAGCTGTTGTTGTCATTCTAGGCGTGTCGCAAGACTACGCAGCAGCGTCCATCGAGCAGTGTGAGTGCCAGCAGGAGAGGGCGAGGAGTGAGTCGACGAGCAAGCGTGCAGAGCACGGTGCGCCAGGCGCTGCCTTGAGAGCGCTCCCAGCTGCCCACCGAGCCTAGTCAAGCGACAGAACGAGGCAGGCGAGCAAGTCGCGGTGGGCAACCCTCGCTCGCCGACTCGTCCTCATCGCTTGGTCTTGCACGCCCCGCTCAGAACCCGCAACCATGCCTGTGGGTCCACTCTGGCGCTCACTGTGCTCGCAGGAATCGCTCGTGCTGACCACAGCTTGTCTCGTCCCCGCCGCATCCCTCCTTCACTCGCCGCCAACCCGATCCTCCTCGTCCTCTCACAGCTCGCGACCTCTGTTGCCAACCTCTTTGCGCGCAACAGCGTCTTCGTCGGCACCGTCTTCACTGGCGAGTCGGTCTCTCTGACCTGTCGCGAGCGCGCGCTGACCTGTCGTTATTCTCGCCATCCACCCCGGTCCTCATCGCCCGAACACCTCCGTCTCGCGGTCTCGCCTTTGCTCACGCCGCTGGATCCTCATCATTACCGCGCATCGTCTTCTTACAATCCTTCGACGCCGTGCGGCCCACTCACAACTCGCTTTCGACACTTCGCACCCCCTTCGCATTCGTCTCGCCTCGCTCTCCCCGGCGTTCCTCCGACTCAACAGGCGCCTTCGCGTTCGGCATCGTCTACGACAAGGTCACCTCTGCGTGGTGGGACGCACACAACGCCGGCAAGCAGTGGAAGGAGTGCGTCGCGTCTCTCGCTCCTTCGGTCGTTCCAGCTTCTGTCCGGAGCGCGAGCTGACCTGCTATCTGTGCTCGCCTCAACAGCATCCGCCACAAGTACGTTGAGCAGGAGGAGTAAGGGGTGTATCTCGGGAGGAATAGATTGGAAGGTTTAGCGGTTACGGGCAATCCAGACGCCGTTCGATACCAAGACGCGGGCCGGTCTGTACGCTAGTCGCGGGCATGGTACTGTGCTTTAGGAGGTCACACATGGGGTCTGGCGGACGCCCAGAGGCGGTGTGGGCTGCGTCGTCCAATCTGGCATCTCTTGCCTCGTTTCTTCCTGCTCGCACGGCTCTGCGCTACTCCTTCGCCTTGGCCGCTCGACTCGCTGCAAGCTGACCAACAGACGACGCGCTCGAGGCGCTTGATTGCTCAGCTAGACGTGTGCTTACACAGTCGGGCGCTCCACTTCGCAAGGTCTCCCTCCGGCACTTCACTCGCTCGGCCTGTTGTCGTTTCTGCCTGCTTGGAAGTTGATCTTGGGCGATGGCGACGTCGACAGCAGTCGCAGGCGAGCGCCAACCGCTCCTGCGCCCCGCTCGCTCACCACCTCCACCTTCACCATCTCACGACTCGGACGACAGCGACGACGACTCTCCCGAGCCCGAGCCCGCGTCACCGAGACGCAGACTCCTCCGCTTCGTCCTGCTATGGTCCGCCGTCTCAACCTTGACGATCTACCTCATCGTTCAGGCGTTCCGCAAGGGTGGAGGAGAGTTCGATTGGAAGGGAGCGCTGAAGAAGGCTGGAGGAGGAGGGCTCGCGGGTGCGATGGCGATGGTCATTCAGGTCTTGACGCTGATGCCGCTCAGGACGGTCATGAAGTGCGCCTTCAGCTCGCTTGATTCTCCTCAGGAAGAGCTGACCAATCTTTCGTTCGTTCTGTTACACAGCTACCAGTACCGCTTCGGCACTACGACAACGGAGGCTAGCAGGAAGCTGTACGAGGAAGGAGGCTGGGGACGGTATTACGCCGGTCTGGCTCCCGCTCTCGTGCAAGGCCCCGTCGGTTCGTCCGCTTCGTCCCGCGGTTTCGCCAACTCGAACTCGAGACTGATATTATGTCGCACAGCCCGCTTCGGCGACACCGCCTCGAACGCCGGCATCCTCGCGCTCCTCTCGTCAAACCCCTTCCTCTCCCGCCTGCCATCCCCTCTCAAGACCGCCTTCGCCTCCCTCGTTGGCGCCCTCTTCCGCATGGTTCTCATGCCCGTCGACACGCTCAAGACGACGATGCAAGCGCAAGGCTCATCGAACGCCCTGCAGATCCTGAAGGAGCGCGTGAAGACCTACGGACCTGGCACGCTCTGGGCTGGAGCATGGGCGACCGCAGCAGCCAACTTCGTCCGCTCGTGGCCCTGGTTCGCGACCTACAACGCGCTTTCGGCGTACCTCCCGCCCGCACCGCCAGCCGACATTTGGGCTAAGTTGGGACGACAGGCGTTCATTGGGTTCGTGTCGAGCGTCGTGAGCGATACGTGCAGCAACAGCTTGCGCGTCATCAAGACCTATCGACAGGTCAGCCGGAAGAAGGTCGGGTACCGTGCGTCTGGCTTTCCTTCTCTCCCTCAATCCGCTCTGACACTCACTTCTCCCTCTCATTCTCGCTCGACAGGGAAAGCGGCGCAGCGTATAATGCGAACGGAGGGTGCCCGCGGACTGTTCGGCCGAGGGCTCAAGACGCGCATCCTTGCGAACGGCTTGCAAGGCCTCCTCTTCTCGGTCCTGTGGAAGGCCTTCGCCGAGCTCATAGAAGGCAAGGGCAAGAAGGGCGGCGATGTGTAGTTCTGGAAAGCGGCTAGACGTCGTGTTGTGTCATAAGATTAAGTCTATTGCGCGCGGAGTCTACGTCGTCCCCGCTTCTAGCGCTCGAGTTTGCGGAGGGAAAGCAGGCAGGTCCGATTCTAGTTTCTTCTCCTCTTCTACCGCTGCTGTTCCATCCTCCGCCGTGCTCTCCTTCCCGCTGCGGTCTTCGCTCCCACCCGTCTCCTCTTTCTCCTTCTTCGCCTTTCTCCCCTCTATCACATCCGGACTCAGACTGTACCTCCCACCCCACCCAACCCACTGATCCGGTGTCGCGTTCGGCCCGCGCAGGAAAAGGAGGAGGATGGCGGTACCGGTCAAGGCGAGCGAGAGGGCGTAGCAGGCGCGCCAGCCGTAGCGGAGGAAGACTTTGGGGCCGGCGGAGGAACCGGTGGCTTGGCTGTGAGCGAGGAGGCGAGAGAGCGAGGAAGAGTGTTAGCGTGCGCATGCTTTCGAGGGAGAGGGCAGGGAGCGACGGACCCAGCCTGTGCAAGAGAGAAGGTCAGTTCGGGTCACACATGGGACGAGGCTGACGCGAGGAGGACCCACGAAGACCATCGCCATATACACTGCATTGATACGGCTCCGAGCCTGTGGGTCGACCTTGAAGATCCGGTGCTGGTTGCCGATCGTGTGCGTCTGGTGAGCGACATCGACAACTGCCAGGGGGCCAGCCTCGTCAATGCCGCACGACAAGGTAGGCGGAAGATAGGGCGTACGGATACAGCAGATGATGACAGGTGCAAGGTTAAGCTGCGCCGCGCCGAGCGCAATAGCCTGCGTTGCGAGCTGGATGCAAAGCGCAAGGAGCGTCGCGTTCCAGCCGGAAATTCGGTCGGTGAGCTTGCCGGCCCATGGCGCACAAACGACACTGACGATACCGCAGAGACCGAAGAGGCCGATCTCGAACGAGTTGTAGTGGAAGGGCGAGGCGTCGAGGAGGAAAGTCAAGCTGGTCCCTGTCGGAGCACTCGGCAGTCAGCAGAAGTTTGCGGGAATACAGAAAGCTGCAGAAAGAGAAGAAGCACTTACACCAGGAGACCATGACCGAGCACGAGAGAAGCGCGATGAGCGAAGCCTGGGTGAGGACGGGTTTGGTGAAGAAGAGCGTGACCATGCTGAGAATGCAACCGGTTCAGTGCCGCACTGCACGCAAAAGGAGCAAGTGAGCCAACCCACCTCCGCAAGATCTGCCAATAATTCAAGCCAGTCCGCTTCTTCGGGTAGTCCGGGAGAAATGCCCACATCAGGACGAGCAGGGCGTACTGCGTCCCTGCTGCGAGCCAGAAGACGTGGTTCGGCGAATATGTGAAGCGAGCCATGACGCCGCCGAAGAGCCTGCCCCAGACTGCGAGACGATGGAGGAGTCAGCGGCGAGGTCCAGCAGCGTCGGCTCACACGGCGGCGTCGCTTCTCTCCGGCTTCCCGACCGGCAGAGAAGAGCAGTCGAGAGATTCGGACGCACCCATGCCCGCAATCAGCCCGCTCAGCGTGATGGACACGCTCGAAGCCCTTTTCTCCGGCGGCGCCAAGTCGGCCGTGAGCGGTACGAAGACTTGCACGCTGACAGTGAAGAGTCCGACGACGAACGTTAGACCTTGAAAGCCGGAGAAGGTGGGCGCGGTGGCTTGGCCGAGCGTAAGGGTGGCGGAGAGGAAGATGAGGGCGAGGAGAAGGGGGCGGCGGGGGACGAGGTCGCCAAGCGGGGTGATGAAGACGAGGCTGCACGCATATGGAGGGTATCCTCGTGTCAGCTAGCTTTTTCTGGCGGATAGAAGGCCAAGCGGGACGCACCCGACGAGATAACCGGCCTGGACGAGCGAGAGGATGCGTGTGACAGTCTCATACGACACGCCGTACCGCTGCGACAGCTGCACCTGGATTGGCTGGACGTAGTAGACGTTTGCCACCTCTATCGTCGCGCCGAATGCGAAAAGCCAGTTGAGAGACCGGGTGAAGATGAAGGGACGGTCGGGGGAGTAGCGGCACCGTCGCGGGATCGGGAGGAAACCGAAGTCGCGCTTCGATAAGTGCTCTTCTCCGACTACCGTCTTGTCCTCCGCCAGGTCCTCCTCACCCTGCCGCCGCCGCCGAAAGAGTCGAGAGAAAAGCGGAGGTCGCGCAGCAGCAGCACACGCGGGAGAAGCTGCGTCGCCCGCCGCCTTGTATGTAGCAGCAGTCATCGTCGAGTGCTGCACAACCAGCGAAGCAGCATCGACGACGAGAGCGACGATGAGGCGGAAGACGACTCCGCTTGACTCCGCCGGGGGGCGAATCCCATGCCGAAGGCTGTCCCGGTGTGGTCCCGACTTTTTCGATCCGAGCGGGTTCTCTCTTGGTGCAAGCGACGTGCAGTGCAAAGTGAAGCAGCTTGCAGTCCGCGACATCCGGCTTGAAGCCGGGAGGAAGGGGGGGACCCGTCTCTCGCGGCCTGCAAGCGGCCTCACCGAACACAACGAGTATTGCAGCACGGAATCGAATATACAGTCTACTCCCTGACGATCAGAGTCGCCTTGCCGGCGCCTGCACGACGAGAGGCGGGGCGTCAGTAACGGAGAACGAGGAGAGATGAAGGAAAGGAACGCACCGGTACCCATGCAGAGCGTCGCAACGCCAGCCTTCTTGTCGGTGCGAATGAGCTCGGTGATGAGGGAAGAGAGGAGACGACCGCCCTGCAGAGAAGGAGTCAGCGGAGGAAGCCAGGCGGAACTGAGAGCACGACTCACAGTAGCTCCCAGAGGGTGCTGCAAGTGGGCGAGACAGCACCAGTCAGTATTTTTGCGTCTCAGGCTAGAGAGGTGGACTTTGGACGCACGCCAAGCGCGATAGCACCGCCCTTCGGGTTGACTTTGGCCGTGTCGAGGCCGAGGGTGTCGATGACCATCAGCGACTGGGACGCAAAGGCTGCATGACAAAGCGTCAGATTGACTGCGCCTCGTCAAAGAGTGGAGACCGCAGACTCACCCTCGTTGAGCTCGAAGATGTCGACATCGTCCTTGGTGATGCCGTACCTCTCAAAGAGGGCAGGAACGGCGTAGGCGGGACCGACACCCATGATGACGGGGGGAACACCAACGACCGCCGAGCCAACCCACTTCGCGAGGACTTTGAGGCCGAGCTTCTCCGCGACGTCGCGGCGGACGAGCGTGAGAGCCGACGCACCGTCCGAGATCTGCGACGAGTTGCCCGCCGTGCCGGTTCCGTTCTCCTTGAAGCAAGGCTTGAGCTTCCCGAGCGACTCCATCGTCGTTTGCGGGCGGATACCCTCGTCCTTCGAGAGCGTGACCTCCTCGACGACCTCCGCCTTGTCGCCCTCAGCCGGCGTCACCTTGCGGACCTTGATAGGAACGATCTCCTCCGCGAAGAGTCCAGCCTCCTGCGCAGCCTTTGCCTTGGCGTGCGACTTGCATGCGAACTCGTCCTGGCGTTCTCGCGAGATGTTGTACTTCTCGGCGACGGCCTCCGACGTCGTGCCCATGGGGAGCAAGCAGTCGCGGGCATCCTGCGAAAGCGACTCCTTGATGTACGGAGAGATGCCGACGGGGATAGCGCGAGTCTGCGACAAGTGAGGAAGCGGTTAGTTCCTTCCGCCAAGTCAACTCTGCGCGAAGTCCGACGCACGCCGTAGTCCCGGGTCATCGACTCCGCTCCCGACGCAATACCCATGTCGATCAAGCCACCCTTGATCTGGAGGGCGATGTCGGTAACGGATTGCAGGGAAGAGGCGCATTGACGGTTAACCGACTTGAAGCCGGAGGAAACGGGGAAGCTGCAGTTCGTCAACTGTTCAGTATCTCCGCTCAGAGGGAATCACAAGCTCGTAAAGACGCACCCAGCATCGAGGGAAGCGAGACGACCGCTCTTCGCGCCTCCCAGCTCCATCAAGACAGTACCGTTGTGGATATCCTGGACCGCGCCGCCCTTCACATCGACACCCTGAGCCTCAAGACGTTCCCTTGTCGCGCGCAGAACGTGAGAAAGGAGCTCCTGCGAAGCGGGAGAGTCGATACAGGTCAGCGGGGTTATTCGGCGGCCGTTCAAGGAGTGGAAGGGAAGCGCACCTCGGCGTGCATGTCCTTCAGGCCACCACGGAACTTGCCAATGGGCGTTCGGAGGGTCGTGACAATCTGCGGAGCCAGCGGGTCAGTTTCTTGTCCGCCCCGAGGAGGGGGAGGGATGCGGCACTCACGCAAACATCGTCAGGACGCTTCTTGAGGACGTCGGCGATAGCGCGAGCGGGAACAGAGGGCTTCATCTGCACGGCGAAAGGTCAGCCGGGTCCGTCGCCTGCGCCACACTCGTCGCTCAGCTCATCCGGAAGATGGGGAGCGAGGGGTCGGCGGACGCGCTGGTGAGGCGCTAGGATGGCCGCGTGTAGCTCACAGTGTATAGCTGATAGAGTCTAGAGATGACAGGTGAAGGCAACGAGGCGAACGAAGCGAGGACGAGCGCAGCGGAGTGAAGCGGAAGAACGAAAGAACGAAGGCGACCCGCGGCAGGACTTGATATCGCCGTCCGCGCCATACATCGCTTTGTGCGACAATCTGCCTCACTCAGCACACTCAGTACGTGCAGAAGAAGCGGGACCGCGCTCTACGATGCAGGATGTACGGTTGCGAGACCGGCAGTACGGACGGCGAGTGCGGAACGACTAGTGAGCGAGTGACAGGGCTCCGGGTGCAGCGCGAGATGTACAGAGGGGTATGTTGTAAGCGAAGGTATGCTGTGGTGCGAGTGGGCGCGAGGCGACGAGGTGAGGAGGCGGAGTACCGGCGTGGCGAGCAGGAGGCGATGAACAATGTCCGACGTTGGTCCCGTCTTGGCTGAGAGTACGAAGTCTGACGGATCTGCTCATGGCAGCCAGATCTGCGGCAGAGGAAGGCGAATCAGCGAGGAATGGCGGCAGAGAGTCAGTCGAACGCACTTTGACGGTCTGATCGACCGAACCAGTTGCGACGACATTGACGAGCTGCGCCGACTCGGCATGCGCTCCGTTCGTGCCGTTCGTAGCCGCCCCATTAGGCTGACTCGCACCAGGCGCCGGCGCACGACCCCACGCCATCGTCGTGACGAAGTGCGAGTGCGCCTCAAGCGTCTTGAGACACCGGCCGGTCGCGAGGTCCCATGTTCGGATTGTCTTGTCGTCTGAAGCGGAGAGGAGGAATTTGCCGGAGGGGTGGAAGACGAGGGCGCGGATCCAGTTGTCGTCTGCGAGCGGGAACGGCGTGAGGACCGACGGCGAGACAAGGGTGAGGGCGGGACTCACGGCCGACAAGCGTTTTCAAGCACTGCCCGCTGACGGCGTCCCAGATCTTGATTGTTTTGTCGCGCGAGCCTGTCGCCGCGAACAAGCCGACCGCCTTGGCTTCCGCAGACCGTCCACTCGGGACCTGCACGGATCAAGTCAGCTTCACTTGGCTGTAGCGACTCAACGAGCCGACGCACAGTCATCCCTGCCAGTTCTCGAATCGCTGGGTACGCCGCGACGGGCGCAAAGACAGCCGCCTCAATGACATGCTCGTGCCCCCGCAGCTCAGTCTTCGTATCGCCCTTGCCAAGGTCCCATATCCGCGCGGTCTGTAGACTTTGTCGTCAGCTCGTCAGACTGTGCGAGTTGCAGAGCGAGACGCACCTGATCGACTGAACAGCTGATGAGCTGCTGGCCGTCCGAACTCGGCAAAACGCTCCGCACCCAGTCGTTGTGCCCCGAAATCGTCCGTGTGCAGAAGCTGTCACCAGAGGGTCAGCTGATGGGGACGCATAGCGGAGATGAACGGACGCACCCGCTCGCGACCTCCCATATCCGAATCGTCCGGTCCCGACTTGCGCTGACGATAAAGTCGTCGTTCGGCAGGAATCGTGCAGTCGAGATCGAGTGATCGTGACCGTGTAGTGTTCGGATGTTCTTCCAGTCGTTGTTCGTGTCCCACAGCTTGATCGTCAGATCGGAGGAGCAGGAGACTGCGCGAAATTGGTGCTTAGTAGAAAGCATCGTAGCGAGCGAGAGCAAGGCTACGCACCCAGCAAGTTGCCCTTCGAGTCAAAGTCGACGTCCTGTACCGCCTTCGTGTGCCCCTTGACCGTCCGCTCGAAATCTCCCGACTCCCAGTCCCATACCTTCAGCGTCGAGTCCTCGCTTGCGCTGACGACGGCGCTGAAGAGAGGGTGGAAGGTCACTCGTGTGATGGGCGAACGGTGGCCGGAGAGCGTGTGTCGTGCGGGTGTTCGAGGAGTCCAGTCGGATGAGGAGGCGGAAGGTCGTTTTGAGGGTGCGGTGGACAGCTCATCCTGCAGCTGCGAGTTCCGCGTCTCGAGGTCCATGATCTGCGTATTCGATGACGGTCAGGATACGCCTACGGCGCCGAATCAGCAAGAGGAAACGCGCCTTCTTCTGCAACCGGATCACGCTCGTCCACTTCTTTTCCAGCAAACCGCTCCATTTCGCCTTTCCGTCTGGTTGAAAGTCCTCCTGCTTCGCCTCTGCCTTGAAAGCGTTCAGGGTCTCGGTGAAGCCGTTCGTGTGCAGGTAGTCGAGGATGGACTTGTGGCTGTGAGCAAGGGCAGGTCAACTTTTGATCCGCGGCCTAGGGCAAGCTCGTAATTCACAGCTCGTCCTTCTGCCGCTCGCTCAGTACGCTCGTCATCGCTCGCAAGGGAGTGTTCGTGTCGCCGTCGAAGGAGGGTCCCGCCGCACGCGTCGCTCAGCTCGACGGGCTATCTGCGATGCCCCGTCGCCCTCGAGTGTTACGATATCACTCCCTGCGCGTCCGTAGAGCCCTCCGAGGCGAGTGCGCTGCTGTTGATTCGGGGTTTCGCTTCAGGAGGAGGTCGAGGCGATGAGGCACTTGGCGAGGTGCAACGCGGTGTTCGAGCGTGTGAGTGGAACCCTTAGCAGTCTCAGTAGCGCACAACGAGCTCAGTCCAGTCAGCGAGACGGTCTGCGAGGTGGACAACACCGTCGCTGCTCTCGCTCCTCCTCCTCGACCTCGACAACCACCTGTTAACTAGCTGGACAAGCTGCGCTGGTCGCGAGAACACTTTGAGCATCCTTACAAGACCTCACCGCCGCTCGAGCGCCCGAGGCTTGCCTTGCACTGTTTTTCTTGCCGACTTCGCGCGCTCATCCAACTTCGGATGCGGTCGCTCGCAACTGCGCGGACAGCGATGTGTAGTGAGGCATTTGTGCCCTGCACGAAGGTTTGCATGCGCTAGGCGGACCGCGGTGGGCCTCAAGGCCACGGGAATGCGCGTGGCCGACGGTCGCCTCCTCTCTGCTGTGTGGCTCGCCCACGCCCGGAGTGTCCGCGAACCCGACTTGGAGGGCTGGCGGAGCTGCACGGCTGTTCCCTCTTCCTCTCTGTGCTGCCGCGAAACGCTGTCACAGCACCCGACATCTCCTCCTCCTTTTCCACTCCACACCTCAGACCGCTCTCTCCCGGCCGAAACACATCAAGCTAGCGAGCGGGCTGTGCAGGCGGGCAACTCCTCCTTAAGCTTTTCCGGGCCGCCTTGTTGCCCCGGACGGAGTCCCTCTCCCTTCCCATCGTCATTCTCCGTTTCTTTCTCTTCTCGCATCCGCCTCGCTTCTCTCGCCATGGGGTTCATTAACGGCGCAGACTTGGGCGAACACTGGCCTGCACTGGCGCAGCAGGCATTCATGGCGGGAACGTGTCGGGCAGGACAGAGTATTGTCCGTCCTTCAGACTTTCGGCCGACGAACGCACGCTGACCTTCGCTTCGTCCAGTCTGAGTGGTGCTCGCAACTGCAGGATCAGTGTTGCGGTGTGATCTGTCCGAATGCCCCATTCACCGGTGCGCCGCGCTTCTGCCCTTCCTCGCCCTGCCGAAAGCTGACCTCGTTGCTTCCTCTTGCAGGTCCCGGTACCATAATCGTCTTCACAGTCGGCACCTTCGTGAGTCTCTTGCAAATGCCTGTCGCGAGCGAAGGCTGACCCGTCGTCTCTGCAGTTCAACCTCCGTACGCTCGACTCCTCCCTCCTCCACCGACATGATGCTGACAGCTTCGCGCTGCGAGCAGTGTGGTGCTTGACATGGAAGAGCGAGGCGACCTACAACCTCTTCTTCCAGCTCCTCGGCGCAGACGCTGCCGCGGTCGGTCTCGCAGTCCGACTAGCGACCGAGAAGAACCGCCTCACCGCCTTCCACGTCTCGTGGCTCCCCTTCATGCTCTGCTCGATCGTCCCCATCGCCATCGCTACGTGCACAGTCGAAAAGGAGTACCTGCACAACATCTCGTATCCGGCACGCCTTGCGCTGCGCCGTCGATTGCTGGCAGAGATGCCGCCAGTCGAGATGGGTCGACGGCATTCGGCGCCAGAGAGCGCGGCAGAGCGCAGGCAAGCGGAGGATGATCTCGCGTTGCAGAAGGAGCGCCGGATGTGGATTGACGAGGTGATGAAGAACAAGCCGCTGCTTCCGCCGGTGCGGTTCTCCCTCGTCGTTTTTAGCGCGCGCTTGCAGCTGACCTGCTTGCCTTTCGCAGTTTGTCGCCTTCTTTTTCCTCGCTCACCTGATCGGCTGGACGATCCTCTTCATCTTCGCCTACTTCTTCCACCGCAACCCTTTCCAGGCGAACTGCCTCGACAAGCTCCCCCTCCGGCAGTACAGCATCATCCTCGGCTGTTTGACGGCCGCCTCCCTCCTTCTGGCCTACTTCTTCGCCTACCTCCTCATCCGCATCACCACGGCTGCTCGACGGCGTGAAGATGCGGCGCGCAAGGCGCAGAAGGAACACAAGAAGATGCCGAAGGAGAAGCTGACGCCGGATCGTGACGTTCTCGTCTAGTGAGTTCAGCTGACGTCGCCAAGCACTCGCTCTTCGTGCTGACTGCCAACTCTCGCAGTCTCGCCGACCTCCTTCACCTTCGACGCGTGCGCGAGATGGTTGAGCCGACGGGACACGGCTGGTCCAAGGAGCGCGAGATGATCCGCTTCGTCTTGTGCTACGGCATCTTTTTCATCTGGGCGATCTGCTTTATTGCTCTCTACATCAGCGTGCGTCAGAAAGCGCTTCGGAGTGAGCGATGTCGCGAGCTGACGTCCTCTCCACACGGCAGGCTCTTAAGGACTTCCTCCTAATCGGCAACAATCCGTTCGACTACGGGCAGGTTGCAGCATGCGTCGTGAGTCCACGTTGCCTCCGCTCTCGACGACCTCTTGCTGACCGCTCCTCTCCAGAACATCATCGTCCCCGTCGCCATCGTCGCCCGCATCGGGATTGAGCAGTATCTGGGCTGGCACGCCGAGAAGGAGGCCAAGAAGGGCTGGCGACGACCGTCGAAGCCTACGACTCTGCCCATCTCTGCGCATCCGCCGCAACTTCCACCAGTCTCACAAACGCCTCTCGACCCGGACGCGCTCTTCCCGCGCTCCGCCTCAACACGACGGCCAAGCCGAACGTCCACGAATTCGCCGGCGCGAAGAAGCTCGAGGCGGACGTCCAGATCAAGCGGGTTGTAGCGCGTTGCCTGTATTGCACCAGCTCTCGACCGAATCTTTCGAAGTCTCGCCGCCGCGTATTCCCGCAAGATCGATGCCAAGGCGAAAACTCCCGCAAAGGCGTCCGCATGGTCGAACTAGCCGCCCACGCACGAACACAGCCTGCATCGGCGAACGACGAGGAGGAGAAGGTCGTCCGCGGATGTTCCGGCGCCGCCCCCGCCCAGCTCTCTCCCTCTCGCAAACTCTTCACGGCAGTACAGGCCCGCAACTATGTGGGCGGCCCAGGATGTGCGTGAACACCCTGCCGTTCGACCTTCGCAAGCTGACTTGCCTCTCTTCATCGCTTCATCTTCAGGCTTTCTCGTCGTCCTCGTGCGGTGGCGGTCTTTCCGTCGTAAGTGGGGCTTCGTTGCTTTTTCTTCCAAGCGAGCTAACTTTCCCTCCCATCAACTCCCATGCCAGGGTACCTGGTGCGCTGCTGCGCGAGACGAGTGTTGCGGTTCGTTCTTCCCCTCCTTCACGCTGTTCCTTGCCCCCACTTACTGACATCTTCGCTTTCTCCGTGCAGGTCTCTGCCAGGTCATCCCAATCACCGGACCCGGAACCGTCTTCGCGTGAGTCTCCCTCTTCCTCCTTCCTGCTTCTCCTCCGCTTGCTCGACCGACGGGCTTCCGCTTCAACCCGTTTCCAGTCTGTCACCGAGGTGTCTTACTCACTCTGACTTCCTTCGCGACTCGGCAGCGCCATCTTCGGCTCGCTCATGAACCTGTGCATGGCGCTCAACTGGCGCTCGGAAACGTCGTACACGCTTGCCGTCCAGCTCCTCGCTGCCGACGGCGCCGTCATCTCGCTCATCGACCGTTACTTCGAGCCCAAGAACCGATTGTCGCTCTTCCACTTCTGCTGGGTACCCATGACGGTGCTTTCGTGCATTCCCATCGTGGTCGGGATGTCGATCACCCGTCTTCGTTACGTCGTACGTTCCTTCTCGCTCTTCACCACGACAACGCTACACGGGACTGACGATCTGTCCGCTCCCAGCACGGCTTCACCCAGCTTGGCGAAAAGGGATTGCCGGAAACGACTTCGCATGGCGGTGATGGTCGTCCTTCAAGCCGTCACTCTGCCCACAGTCTTCGCGAGCTCGCCCATGGCGATCAGGCTGCACAAGCGGAAGTCTTCGAGGACCCCGCAACGCGTTACGGGAATCTCTTTCTTACGAAGGTCGCCCTTTGGATCACGCTCGCCCATCTGGTCTTCTTCTCAGCCGCATTTGCGCTGGTCTACGGTTCATCGCTTCTTCTTGCTCGTCCTGAAGCGTGCTGATCGATCGTATCGCAGCGAGCGTCTCCGGCTTCGCGCAAGAGAAATGCATCGACAAGCACAACCTCCAAGGCTGGCGCATCCGCATGGCTGTCTTTAGCACCGTCTTCCTCGTCGTCGGCTACCTCTTCTGGTTCGCCTTACTTCGGGCGCTCGATGTCAAGCGTCGTCAGAAGCCATCGAAGAAGCTGCCTCGCGTTGTCGATGGTTTAGACATGTGCGTTCTGTTCTACACCTCGAACGCCAGAACGGGAACTGACATGCCCTGCGCGCCTATAGCGTCGTCTGGCTCTTTTGCGCCCACCTTCACTCTCCCGCCTCCTACACACCTTGGGTCCTCGCCTCGTCGCGCAGGAAGAACCTGCTTCGCTGGGGCATCTGTGCGTTCAGCCTGTCTTGCATGCGCTCTTTGCTGACTGATCCGCTCGTAGCGTTGGCGGTGTGGCTCGGATGGGCCGTTGGGTACATCTGGCTGTACATCCAGGCGGGCAACGAGTTCTTGATGCAGGGAAGCAATCGTGCGTTCGCCAGCATTTACTACACCCTGCTTCAAGCTGACCTGACTCTGACCTGCACGCAGCTTGGCCGTATGGTGCGTCTCTCGACGAGTCGGTGTAGCTGAAGTCCTCGACGCTCACTCTTGTCTGCGCGCAGAGCAAATCTCCGGCGCTTTCGTGCGTCGAGTCGCCTCTCCCGCGGTGTGTCGCTCCCACTGACCCAGCTCCACCCGGTACCCAGAGCGTCCTTGCCCCGCTCTGCCTAGCCGCCCGAGCCTACTTCGAAGCCCGAGACGGCTACGACCACGAGGCCATCTTCGCCGAAGACCATCGTGGGACTCGAGTCAGCCACCACGACGGCCACGAAGAGGAGGTTCCGACTTCGTCAGAGTCCGAGCGACACGAAGAGCTCGTCCGCGGTCCATCGTCTCACGCCGCCAGCTCCGCCAGCGGCAGCCGAAGGTTCTCCGATGGCTTCATGTCTGGCGGACTCCGCGCCTCTGCGGACACGTCGTTCCAGCGCGGGTCGACGACGCATCACCACCGGATGAGCAGCTCCGACGGCGGCGTCTCGCCTCGCACGCAGCCTAAGCGGCGCGGTCTGATCGAGGAGACCGCCAGCATGCCCGACGACGACCAGTACGGCGACCGCTCCCGCGATCACGACCGCCACCGTCGCGAGAGTCTTGACGACTGGCGCCCCGAGGAGCACGACGAAGATCAGCCTGGACCGTCGCGCTCGAAGCATCACGACGAGCATGGCTCGGCGGTTTCGTCGCACAGGACGGACCGCCGGGAGAATCGGCCCTCGCGCTCTTCGTCGACGTCGAAGTCGTTGCGTGGGCACATTGGGGTCGCCAAGGAGTGGCTCAAGCGGGACCAGGAGGGAGGGGTCGGCGAGGACGACGAGGTTCGCGGGCGTAGCGGGTAGCGGCTCCCGACGGTCGCCCGTAATGAGGTATCCTCTACCTTTCACGATACGGGCAGGGTCTTCGAGCGGCGGAATGGCACCGCGAGCGAGAGTGCGAGGAAACGGCGAGAGAAGGGCAACGGTTGCTCGGGAGAGACTGTAGTTCCCCAGGCGTCGCCTCTGTGAGTCCACAGAAGCTGTCGCACAATGCAGCAGTGTCTCTTGCGACGAGTGAGCGCAAGAACAAAGGCCAACTTCCTCAACGCTCAACGCTTCTCGCGCCGCTCACGCCGCTTCCATCGCTCAACCTCGCTCAGGCTGGCTCGCCGAACTCGCAGGCAGCTTTAGATACGCACAGCAACGCCTCGCGAGGACCGCCGCGCTCACCGAAGCTTCCAACCGACTCGACTGGCTTGATCGGGAGTTGGGATGCCAGCGCTCTCCGGCGCTGGAGGAGACAGGCGGGCTTCTGTGGCGGGCATAGCGGCAGCTGCGGGGGCCAACACCACGTCCGTCAAAGTCGGTACGTCCTACGAGCCGTCCTCACTCCGTTCGCTCCCTCGCGTCGCATTGACCTTCTCGCCCTTCGCATCGCTTGTATGTCGTCCTGCAGTTGTCAGGATCCGCCCAAACATCGGCTCTGATGCTGCCAACGTCCCGCCACGCTTTCAGCGCATCGTCGTTCACCCAGTCAGCGAGACGACGCTTTCGGCGGACAATGCGGGAGCGGTGGGGGCTGGAGCTGGACCTGCGTCGCCCGCTGCTGGACCCTCGGGCAGACCGGCGAAGCAGATGTTCACGTTCGACAGGGTGATCGCGCCGACCGAGGGGCAGCCCGACGTCTGGGACTGCGCCGAACCGCTTGTCGACTCGTTCCTCGAGGGCTTCAACGCGACCATCCTCGCGTACGGACAGACTTCGAGCGGCAAGAGTTACACGATGGGAACGGACCGTATGAACGACGGGATTTTGGGCGACGTCGAACGACAGGGCATCACGCCTCGCGCAGTAACCGAAATCTTCGACCGTCTTGCGGCTTCTCAACGCAGCTCGAAAGGCGCTCTCACCTTCTCCGCCAAGGTCAGCTACCTCGAAATCTACAATGAGGAGTTGATCGACCTTCTCGCCGGCAACCGAGACGAGCGGCCGACTGTCCAGATCCGCGAGGACAAGCAAGGCAACATCTTCTGGTCTGGCTTGCGCGAAGTCAAGGTCTCGAGCGCACACGAGGTCATGGAGTGGGTCTTCATCCCTGTCCTGCAGGCGAACGGCTCGGAGCTGACAAGCCGCCTTTGCGCAGCCTTCTCGCCGCCGGATCCGCCCTCCGTCAGACTGGCGAGACTCAGATGAACGCTCAGTCGTCTCGTTCGCACGCCATCCTGTCCCTTACTGTCACCCAGCGCAAATGGACCGGTTCCGGTCCTTCAACCCCTTCTTCTCCCGCGATGCCCAGCTCTCCTCCCTCACCCCGGCACAACCGCCGCCTCTCCGCAATCCCTCGCGTCTCTAGCCCTGTCCCTGGCGGCCGCAGCGCTACGCCCACCTCTGACCGCCCCGGAAGTCGAGTTGGCCTCCGACCACCCAGCCAGCTCGGTCGTCCCGCCAGCCCGCAGGACTCGGAAAGTGGGACCTGGGTCAACGTCACCTCCAAATTCCACTTTGTCGACCTCGCCGGGTCAGAGCGGTTGAAGCGCACGGCTGCGACAGGTGACCGCGCCAAGGAGGCTGTCTCGATCAATGCCGGCCTCAGCGCGCTCGGGAACGTCATTTCTGCTCTCGGCGACCCGACGAAGAAGGCGACGCACGTCCCTTACCGCGACTCGAAGCTTACGCGGTTGCTGCAAGACTCGCTCGGAGGGAATGCGAGGACGATGATGGTTGCCTGCGTTTCTCCTGTTCGTTCGTCCTTGTCCGGTCTGCACATATTCGGCTGACAAGTGCCTCTCGCAGACCGAATTCAACTTGCAAGAGACGCTCTCCACGCTCAAGTACGCGAACCGAGCCCGCAACATCAAGAACCGTGCTGAGATCAACGAGACCGAAGCCGGTTGGGACGATCTCGAGCACCTACAGCGCACCATCGTCAAGCTTCGAGCCGAGATGGCGGCGCTCAAGTCGGGCGACGTTGCTCACGTCGTCGACCGGAACGGCCACGCCGAGGTCGCCGTTCCCGGCTCGGTCGAGGCTGAGCTGCAGCAGAAGATTGCGCACCTCACGACGGAACTGGCGAAGGCGCAATCGGGCGACTTCGCGGCGCCAGGCAGCCCGTCGTCGTCCTCGCTGTCGCGCGACCAGTTCGCCGCAGCGGTGGAGCCGATCGTCGAGGAGTACGAGCGGTCGCTGTCGGCTCTCGAGAGCCAGCTTGCACTCACGAAAGCGGCTCTCGGTCATTCGGAAGACGAAATGCGGGACCTCGAGGCGCGGATCGAGGAGGAAACGCGGACGAACGAGGCGAACGCTGCCCTCATCGACGACCTCCGCCTGCGCGTCGCCAAGCTCTCCGAGCGCGAGGGAACGACCGAGCAATACGTCCGCGACCTCGAGTCTCGCCTCAAAGACGTCGACGATGCGGACGAGTCTCACGGAGTCGCCATCTCCGACCTGCGCAAGGAGCTGAGTCGGAACCGCGAAGCGGCGCAGTCGACCGACCTGTACATCAAGGAGCTCGAGGGTCGGCTAGCGCAGGCGGACGAAGCGAATGCGGACCTCCGACGACAGATCGAAGCGCTCGAGCGCGAAGTCGCTCGTCGCGAGGAGTCGTACCGAGAACTCGAAGCGCGCGTCACCCTTCTCGACACCAGCCACAACTCGAAGCTTCTCCTCGCCGAGATCGACGACAAGGACCACCGGTTGCACGATCTCGAGCGCGCCGTCGACGAGCTGAAGGGCAAGGTTGGCGCGGCTGAGGAAGAGGCGCAGCGGTTGCAGAAGCTGGCGTCGGAGGAGAAGGCGGTCAAGGAGGAGTTGCTCGGCCGCGTCCGTACGCTTGAGCGGACGCGAAATTTGGGGCCGGCCATGACCCCACCCAGAACGCCCGGCTCGTCCTCTGTCGAATCAGGATCACCTGAAGCCGCCGAAGTTGCGACTGCTCGCGACGCCGCTGTCGTCGCCTTCCCTTCGCCCGCCGCCGACGTACCCTCCGCCGACGACGATCTGCGACAACAGATCGCCTCGCTCCAGGCGACTCACGAGCAGACCTTGCGGGACCTCGAAGCGGCGCAGCAGAAGTACCGCGACTCGCTCAAGGAGATCGACGACCTGAATGGCCAGATCCAGGAGTCACGACTTCTGCAGTCGCGGCGGTCGGAGTCCGACTTCAGCGAGTCGGGCTCGCAGGTTGCGAGGGGAAGAGTAGGCGGAGAGGAGGACGAGAAGGGCGATGCTGTCCAAGAGCTCGCCGACTCGCCCACCTCGACGCGCACCGGCTCGCCGGTCATGCAGCGGTCGGCTCCTCGAACGCCGCACGCCCGTCGGAGCATGCCGCTGTCACCGCAGCGGCTGTCTTTTCTCGGCCGAGGACAGGGAGCCTCGTCGCCGTCGCACTTGCGCTCGGCTTCTTTGGCGCAGGAGTTGTCCTCGGCAGTATTCTCCCAAACCTCCTGCCCGACGAGTCCCCACACCGTCTCGCCCTCGTCGAGTTCGCACATTCGGCGCGACAGCTTCTTCGGACAGACCGAACGGAGCTCTGAGCAGATGAAGGAGGAAGTACTGAAGCTCCAGTCGACGCTGAACGAGCGGGACGCTGAAATCGCGGCGCTCGAAGCGACAATGCAACAGCTTCGTGCGCCCGACCCGTCGTCCGCACCTTCACCTCTTCATCCCGCCGGGATGCCCCTCCCCTCGATTGTCACCGAACGCCCAGCCACACCTCCCCCTGGGGAGCATCCGACGCCGTCCTCCGAACTGCTCCTCTCTCCTCGCACCCAATCCACCTTCGACTCGCTTCGCGCCGACTTGAACGGCACCGGCCTCGGCCTCTTCGCTCTCGGCGGGCCTGATCATGCGCGTTCCGATCAGCAGGATCAGTCGCAACGGCTCGATGAGCTGATGCGTTCGATGGCGCACAAGGAGTCGGTCCACCGCGAGACTGTCGAGCAGCTGCAGAGCCAGCTCGAGGCGCTTCAAAAGCAACACGATGAACTCGCCGTACTCTCGCGAGACCAGATCTTGAACGCGTCGAACGAGGTCGACAGGATGCGAGAAGAGAAAGAAGCGGCGGAGACCGGACGACTTGCGCTCGAGCGGAATCTCGCGGACAAGTCTGCCGAAGTCGAGCGATTGCAAGGCGAACTGGCGTCGGCGGCGACTCGAGCGGAAGAGGAAGCGAAGGAGGCGCTGGACAAACTGGATGCGGAGGTTGCGAAAACGAGGGAGGCGGCTGAAGCAGGTGAGCAATACTCGCCACTTTACGACGTTCCACGCTCACGGCTCTCTACAGCTCATCGCGACCATCTTGTCTCGCTCGCCGCCGAGCACGCGAAGCTCATCGCAGAGCTCGAAGCCGGCCACGCTACCGCTTTGCGTGATGCGTTGTCCGCCCACGAGGACGACTTGCGCAGCAAAGACACGGGGCACGCCTCTGCCCTTGAGGTGCTCGCAGCCCAGCATGCCGAAGCGCTTCGACAACGAGACGTGCAGTATGCCGACGACTTGCAGGTCAAGCTCGACGCCGCAGCAACGGAGTCGAAGGCCCAGGTCGATGCGCTGCTCGAGCAGGTTCGCCACCTCGAGACTCAGCTCGAAGCGCTCTCGTCGGCGGGTCAGGCGGACGTCGCGATCGCTATCGAAAAGCTCTCCGCCGAACACGCTTCGACCCTCGCCGAGTATCAATCGACGGCGGAGCGCGAACGACAAGCTCTTCGAGATGAGCACGACACGAAGCTTCGAGAGCGTGAAGCGGAGCACGCCTCCGCCCTCGACCAGCTTCGCGCCTGCCACACTTCCGCCCTCGCCGATCTCGAGACGAAGCACTCCTCCACCCTGTCTGCCCAGCAAGACGAGCACGACGCGCGCCTTCGACAGCTCGTCGATGACCATGCCCAACTCACGTCGAGACAAGAAGCCGCGTCGGGCGCTGCAGGTGTCGAACTCGATGCGGCTCGACAAAAACATGCGGACGAGGTCGAGCGGACGAAGCAGGAGCATGCGGCCGCGGTGGACGCGCTGCGCGAAGAGCACGAGACGGCGCTCCGCTCGCAGGGGACGTGTCACGCCGCCGCGCTCGACCAGCTTCGCACGGAGCATGCTACAGCTCTCGCAGAACTCGAGACGAAGCACTTGGCCGCCCTGTCCGCTCAGCAGGCCGAGAACGATGCACGGTTCCGACAAGCGGCGGAGCAACAGGCGGACCTCGTCTCGACGCACAACGACGCCTCACGCGACGCCGCTGAAAAGCTCGAGCAGGCTCGACAAGAGCGTGTGGCGGAGCTCGAGCGGGTCGAGGCAGAGCAGGCCGTCGTCCTACAGTCGCTGCGGGACAAGCACGAGCAGTCATCGAAGCTGGCCGCCGACTCGCATGCCTCGGAGCTCGAGGAAATCAAGCGCCAGCCCGACGAAGCTGTCGCCGCCCTCGAGTCGAAGCACGTCGAGGCACTAGAATCTGCTCGAGTCGACCTTACCTCGCAGCACGCCCTGACGGTCGACGAGCTCAAGCAGGATTTGCAGCGCCAGCTCAATGCGGCTGCTGCCGAGCACTCCGCCGCCCTCGAGAGCCTCCAAGCCGAGCATGAAGCTGCGCGATCCGCCTCGATATCGGACGCCGACAAAGCACGTCAACTCAACGAAAAGCTGGAGGCAGCGCGAACAAGCCATGCCGAGGAGAAGGAGCGGCTCATTGCCGAACATTCGGCTGAAGTTGAGCGTCTGCTTGCCGAGCACGAAGGTCTGCGTCTCAGTCTTCGCCAGGCGCATGAGACGGCTTTGGATAACGAGCGATCGGCTCGCGAGAACGCGCTTGAGCAGGCCAAGGTCGTACGTGCTCGTCCAGCACCCGGTTGCGAACACCGCGCTAACGCTACGAGCTTGCAGGAGCACACCACCGCCTTCGAAGCTGTACGCGCCTCTCTCGCTGCCGACCACTCCGATGCCCTCTCCGCCCTCTCGCGCGAACACGAGGGCAAGCTCGCCTCGCTCGCCTCCGACCACGACGCCGCGCTCGCCAACCTTCGCATTGACTATGATGCCGATTTGCAGCGCCTTTCCGATGAGCACTCGAGCGCCGTGCAGGACGCGGCGAGCAAGACGCAGAACCAGCTCGACGAAGCGGCGGCTGCGCATGCGTCCGCGCTCGCCGCTGTCTCAGCCGAGCGAGACGTTGCCCAACAAGCTGTTGATTCGGTTCGCACCGAGCTTGCAGGCTTGCAGGACGAGCTTGCGGGCGCTCGGGATGCTGCAGCTGCCTTCTCCACGCAGCGCGACAGCCTTGCTGAGCGGCTCGACGAGCTCTCGGCTCGACACGCGAACCTCGTTGCCGACCATGCGAAGGAGCTCAACTCGTTGCGACAGTCCATCAGGGTCCAGCAGACCGCTCCTCCGAATACCGTCGCTCCTGAGACGCAGACCGCTCTCGCCTCGCTCGCTTCGCCCGAACAGGTGCTGCACGAGTCGCAAGCCGATCGTGCTCGCCTCATTTCGGAAATCCACGAGCTGCGAGGCGGCGAGGATGGTGTCGCGGAGGACGATGGCCGGCTCGAAGCGATGGTCCAGCAGGTCCAGCAGTATCGTACGGTCGTCACCAAGCTCGACGCCCAGCTCGTCCTGACTCGCAAGGAGAAGGGCACGCTCGCTACCCAACTCGCACGCATGTCGCTCTCGTCCAGCAACGCAGGACTCGGCATCTCGTCCGTCCAGTCGCCGCCCTCCGAGTTCGGCTCCCGCGCCATGTCGCCTACGAGCGACCTCGACCGCGCGACTTCTCCCCCGCTCCGCAGCGAGCGCCTCTTCAGCAACGGCAGTACGTTCAGCGGCAAGTTCCCTCCGCCAACTCCGCCGCCTTCCGTCCCGCCTCCCCCTGCCCCCGCACCAACTTCGCCTCTCCCGCCTGTTCCGGCCGGTGGCTCCCCTCTCCGACTCGGTGGTCGACGGTCATCTGCCTCGTCGACTGCTACGGCGGCGACGGAGCATCGTCGCGGTTCGCTTGGCGGGTCAGGCGAGAGTTCGGTCGCCCTGCAGGCTGGAGACGCGAAGCTTGCAGTGCAGGTCAAGGAGCATGAAGCTCAGGTGCGTCGACGTCTGTCCCTCGAGTCTACGAGCTCTAGCTCACACCCGCACCGCAGCTCGCCCGCCTCAAGCAGCAGCTCGCCCAGCGAAATGCCGAGTACCAAGCGCAGGTCGACCTCGTCAGCACGCTTGAATCGGCGCTCAACGACTCGGAGCGCAACCTGCGCAAGGCGCGGCTGCAGTCGAACGAGTACGCGCGCGAGCGGGACCAGCACAAGGCGACTGTCGACCGGTTGCGGCAAGAGGCGCAAGACTCGCACACAACGAGCGAGAGCTACAGACAGTCTGTGCTGGATATGGAGGAGAGGTTGCAGGAGCAGCGGACGAGGGAGGCGAGGGCCGAGAGGGCGCGGATGGAGCTCGAGGCGAGGATGGAGGCCGCGAGCAAGAGGAAGAGCAAGTGTGAGTCCGCGGGTCCTCCCTTCGCTTTCTCCGGCTTGTCTGACCGTGTCTCTCCACAGTCGCCTGTTTCTAGACAACACACATTCGTTATCAGTACCCACCAGCAGCTGCACCCCAACCACACCCTCGTCTCGCCTCGTCCTCATCGTCTCTCGTTTTCCCATGTTGATCCCATTATTTCGCTTCCTCTGGCGTCGGAGTACCGTGTTCGCTTGCAACAGGCATTGCAGCAGCGACACAGTACAGTCTCGAGAGACTGTCCCGCTTGAACCGGTTTGTCGGAGAGGTCGGTCGAGGAAGCTACGCTCGTTCGCTCTAGCCAACACGCTCTCGCTCGCTGTTCTCCCAGCTGCTTGAGTGAGCACGATGCAGGGCAACCAGTACTACACGAGCCAGCAGCCGTACTACGGCCAGCCAACCCCTTCGACCTCCACCTCCCTCGCCCAGCAGCACCCGACCAACGGCGACATGGGCATGTACCAGCAGCAGATGGGGCACGCGCACCAGCAACAGCACTCGCAGCCGCAGTACCAGCAGCAGCACATGCTCCAGACCCGCGGTGAGCACGCCTCTCTCGCCATTCCTCATCAGCTCACACCGGGCACCTCGCGACGACGGCTCACCACGCCTCTCTTGCGCGCTTGCAGACAGCACAGCAGGACCCAGTCGACAGTCTGCGTCGCACAGGCGCGACCACTCGATGAGCGCGGCGTCGGGCGGAGCGGGCGGGCAGGCTGGCAGCGCGGGATCGGGCGCAGGAGGGTCGTCGACGCGGCACCCTGCCGCGCCGTACCAGCGGCCAGAGGGCGCGTCGCACACCGTCAAGGCGAGCAGCACGACGAGCTTGTTCACGACCCGCAAGAACTGGAGCGAGCACATCCTCCAGGAGCTGCAGGTGCGTTCTCGCGAGGATCGCAGACGCTTTTCGCTGTACTGACGCGCGTCCGTACGTTCTACAGGACTTCATGCAAGTGCTCAGCCCGGCGGGCAACTTCATCTTCGCGTCGGCGTCGGTGAAGGACTTGGCAGGCTGGACAGCGGACGAGCTCTTCGGACAAAGCATCTTCGACTACATCCACCAGGACGACGCACATGCGTTCAAGCGCGACTTTGAGCAGTCGTGCCGGACAGGCGACACCCTCACGCTCTACTACCGCTTCAAGACCAAGGACGACCGCCACGTCTTGTTCGAGGTGACCGGCCACCCTTATTACGAGGGTGGCAAGCCTCAGCAGTCGCCGAACCAGCCTGCCAAGTGCTTCTTCGCCATGGCCCGACCGTACCCTTCGAAGAACCAGTCGCTCCTCGACGGCTTCCTCGAGCTCAAGTTCGAGAACGAGCGTCTGCGGCAAGAGTTGCTTCTCATGTACAAGGAGGTCGAGGGCGACGGGTCCAGCGGTGGTGCGTCCTTTGACCCCCTTTTTTCGCTCGCAAGCTGACGGGGTCGAGCGTGCAGGCTTCCCTTACGGCCAACCGGGCATGTACCGCGGCGACTCGTTCGACGCCTCGCGCAGCACCGTCATCGACCCCGCGACCGGCCTCGTCCAGACTTCGACGCTCATCCCTTCGACCAGCAACACGTACGGTGCTCTGGGGATTGGTATCTCGGCAACCGGCACGAAGGGAGACGGGACGGGCGAGAAGAGGAAGAAGGTGCGCTCGCAGTTCGCGGCTTTACAGCTGATTTCCAATTCTCTCACGGCCATTGCTGATGCACATCCGATGTCGCGTGCAGAAGTCGCGCGTCGAGGAGGGCGAGTTCGTTTGCCGGGATTGCGGCACGGTCGAGTCGCCCGAATGGCGCAAAGGTCCCGACGGACCCAAGTCACTGTGCAACGCCTGCGGCCTGCGCTACGCCAAGCTCGTCTCCAAGGCCAAGAAGGAGCAGAAGGCCGCCAAGGCGTGATCTTCCCTCCTGTCTCGACTCCCCGTTTCGTTCCAGCTTCCTCGTCCCCGTTCGCTTTACCCGCTACCCTATGTCTCACACATTCGACTGTCCATTCTCTGTCTAGCCCAGTCCATACACTCTGTGTAGCACTCGCCCCGACTACCCCGTTGTACGTAATTTGGCCGTGTGAGCTGTTTGCCTGCTCTGTCGTCTCTCGTTGTGGAGGACGTGGCGAAGCAGCCGACGCGATCGAGCGAACCGCCTGTCCGACCAGAGACTGCGAAGCAAGTTGTGTGAGAGCGCTGAATGAGTTGCAGCTCGCGCTTTCGTCTACGAACCCCTCGGCTCCTCTGTGGCTATCGCAACGCGTACGCGACGACGGGGAACAGTTCTGTAGGAGAAAAGGTCAATGGCAGGCAGAGCGAGGGAGATGGTGAGATGAAGCGCACCGGCCGGGAAACCCCTCTGCACCTCTCGCCGCACGATCGTCAGCCCCGCCTGTTCAAACACCTCCCTGAACGCCTTGTCCGACCTCGTGATCGAGCTGTCGTCCTCGTCAAAGATCTTGCCCGCGCCATCTCCGTCCGTATCCTTGCAGACGTTCTCCTTGACGATGATGTAGCCCTCGCATGTCCCGTCTGCCCGTTGACGGAGCGCTCGTCGACTTCGTTGGAGGTACGCGACGAGCTCCGAGTCGGAGAGGTGGCCGATGCACCATTGGACCATGACGAGGTCGTACCCTTCTTCCGCAACTTTCAAGTCCTCCGACGGTTCAGGCCATGCCGCATCCTCCTTGCCCAGCTGCGCGAACAGCTCCACCTTCGCGCTCGTTTCGGCCGCCTCCGCTCCATTCGCCTCGCCCTTGACCGGCCGCGCCGGCGCAAGCGGATCGAAATGCTGCAACCCCGCCCTCCAAATCCTCACGCCCTTCTTCTTGCTCTCATCCTCAACATGCAACCACTTCCACCCTTCTCTGCCTTGCAACGCATTCGTCTGCGCTTGTACGACAAACGGCTCGACGGGTTCGACGAGGTCGACCAGGTCGAAGAGCGGGAGGAGGACGGTGGATGTTACGCGACCGATGCCGGCGCCGCAGTCGAGAGCGCGGAACGGTCGCGAGGGACGAGAAGGGGCGGAAGAAGCGGGGAGGTGCGGAGGGGAGATGGTCGAGAGTTGAGGGAGGAGCGAGAGGATGAGCAGGCGGGAAGAGGTTGCGTCGAGGCGCGAGACGGGGGTGCCTCTGTACAAAGAGACATCAGTCTAGACTCAGAAGTATCTGCTGACCTTGCACTTACTCGCCGTATCCTCCAAGGACGCCGTCTACATCTGCGCTCGTCGCCGTCCAGTACGCGACACCAGCATCGAAGTCGGGCAATTTTTCGGTCATGGCGGGTGTCGAAGAGAGTGCTGTCGCCTTGATAGAACGTCTGGAAGCGTATGTGCGAAGGATGGGTTGGAAGGCAAGTCGAGGAGGGCGGACGAGGGAAAGCGACAGAGCCAGTGAAGCGGCGGGAACAGTCGGCGCGGGTCCAGGAAGTCGGACAGTACTTGTTGAACGCTATCAAGCACACTCGCGAGCCAATCTGAGCGAGTCGAGGTGCAGGTCGACGGCGAAGCCATGTCGCTCGCAGGTTGCTCGCCGTCTATTCTCGTCTGTCGCCAGGTTGTGCTCGTGGAGCGTCCAGGATGTCGTTCTTTGTCAAGTTCTTGATCGGTGGAGCACTGGGCGGCGGGTGCGCTCCCTCTCCCGCTCCCCTCACCCGAGTCGCTAATCCTCATCGCTCGTCAACTCCGCAGGCTCACGGCGTACTACCAGGACGAGATCCGCCGCACGACAGAGTCCCTCTCGACCGACTTGCACCGCCTGTCGGACGAGCTGGTCCGCTCAGCGCCCAACCCGGCTGCTCAGACGACTTCGCCCGCTCAGGGTCCGGTCATCCCGCAGCGGCTGCCGTTCACCGAGGAGCTCAAGGCTCGCGTGAGTCCCGCTGTGCTATTGTCGCTCGAACAGGGCGCTTCGGGATAAACGCGCTGACGATACCTTCCATCCTCCCTCTCTTCTCGACCTGAACCGCTCTGACTACCTTCCATCCGGCCGTCGTTCCTCGCGCAGTGGAACGAGCAACTCGGCACTGCCTTCCACGCCGCCCAAACCGCCGACTGGTTCTCCCTCGCCTCGCGAACATACCGCCAAGTCCAATCCTCCCTCTCTTCCCTTTCGACTCCCGCCCCTCAACCTGCTTCTCCGTCAGAACCGGCCGTCCCTATCGACTTTACGCCTGCTGGAGCGGTCACGGCTGTGGGGGGTGCGGAACCGAGGCCCGCGAGCGTTGTCAAGGTGGACAAGCGGTTGGTGTAGACATGGCGGATGGCAGGGAGGATGGGAGGGGTTGACTGCAAAAGGCGCGACATGGCGCTTCATAAGATGCGCACGGACTGTGTGCCCGAGAGAGGTGCTGGACGCAGTCGCTGTCCTGTGCCCTTGCTCGTCCTCCGTCTCGAGCACCGCTTCACTTGCTGCGTTCCAATGCTCGTTACAGCTTCTAGTGAAGGCTTGTACGTTGTTACTTGGCATAGGCTTGCTATAGCACACGAACTTGAGCCCAGTTGGCTCATTGAGGACCTCGGCACCGCCTCTTCACTCTCTACGTCCTGCTCTCGCTCGCAACATCGCTTGTACGGCCGCAACTACACGCTCAGGGTCACAGCTGGGTCTCTCAGAATCGACCTGCGCCTTCACATTCTCGCCCGACCCCTCGTTCTCTCCCTCCCTCTCCTCATCAGCAATGAGCGAAGATCCAGTCTGGGACGCCCTCCTCGCCTGGTTGAGGACCTTTCCGAACCACGTGGACCCGGAGAAAAGTGTCAGGCTCGTACACAACGAAGGTACGCCCGACTTGGGGTTGTTGCGCGGCGAGAACAGTCGCTCACCTCTTCGCACGCAACAGCTGGGCGAGGTTTGGTTGCGAGGGGAGACTCGCCGGTGCGTCCCTATCAACCGATTCATTACAGACGTGCTTACAATACCTTTCGCAGCCCGGCTCGCTTCTGATATCCATCCCGAATGCCGCCCTCCTGAACCTCCGCACCCTAAAACCGCTCTACCCGCCCTCCTTCGCTTCCCTAAACGCCATCCAATGGCTATCTCTCCATCTTGCACTCCAGTTCCGCCGGCACCTGCATCCGGATGACCGACGACCACCCCTGCCGAACCGAACTTCCTCGACATCTGCCCTCCCAGATAACGCCAAGTCTGCCTCGACTGCCGCTCCTCGACCTCCACGCGCGACACCGCAAGACAAATACTGGCCCTTCATCGCCTCTCTCCCTCGTTCTTTCCCTACCGTCCCCCTCACATGGTCCATCCACTCCCGCTCTCTCGCAACACTCAAAGCCGATTTCTCCCTTTCCGAAGACGACGTCTCGCTTGATCAGTGGCAGGACGACGCGAGGAAGAGAAAGAGGTTGGCGGATTTGGTGGAGCTGATGGATGGGGCGACGAGGAGGAGGGCAAGGGATGTCGAAAAGCGGTTTACCGAGGATCGGGACGTCGTGAGGCGGCTGTGGGTGCGTTAGCGGCTTGTTCTTCGGCGCCGTGCTCGCTTTGAAGCACATGCTGATTCAGATATGCTTGCGAAGCACAGGCAGATCATGGAACGGAAGTTGAGGGCGAGCTGGGATTCTTTGACTTCCTGCTCGGCTGGCTCAACGGTGCGTCCGCGCTTATCGCATTCGGACTTAGCACGTCTCCTGACTATGTCCGATCTTCGCATATGTGGTGGCTGCAGTCAACACGCGTTGCATCTACTTCGACCTCGACGGCCGCAAGGAGAACAACCTCACGCTTTGCCCCGTGATCGACATGATCAACCACGTTCCAGGTCGAACGGTAGGTAACTCATATACCTGCACGAGTTCGCTCAGCTCGCTGACGAGCCTGTATATTCCGCAGACTAAACCTTCGCCTCGAATCGCCAGCATGACCTTCTCCGCACCGAGCACGTCGTCAGGCGACCCTCCACTGCGAGACGGAGACGAACTCGCCTTCAGCTACGGTGCTCACGAGGTGCGCCTCTGCCTGCCCCCTCCACTACCCCCGCTAACTTCGGATTGCCTCGCAGGACGCGATGCTCTTGACCGAGTACGGGTTCGTGATTGGCGCTGAGAACGACTACAACGTTGTCGAGGTGGACAAGTACATAAAGGGGCTGTTTGAGGCGCAGGGGAGGGAGGGGGAGTTGAAGGTTGGCGTTCTAAAGGATGAGGGGTACTGGGGGTGCGTCCGGTCGTCTCCAGCTGGTTTCGTTCCGCTGCTGTAGAGCGGATCGCATACCTGTCTGAGCTTGGCGAAGACACTGACCGATTGACGACATCCTCGCAGCGACATGACCCTCTCGGCGAAACCTGATCCTCCTTCGCCCTCCTGGCGCGTGCTCGTCGCCCTTCGCCTCCTCCACCTCCGACTCCCCACGCTCGCCGTCCTCTCCGCCGACTCGTTTGCGGCGTGGTACAACAACATCAACGGCGTGGCGGAGACGGTGTCCTCTGCCAACGAAGCGAAAGTTCGCGCGAGCGTGCAGGCGATTTGCGACGCAGCTGCGCGGGAGGCAGAAGAGGGTGTGAAGCGGTGTGAGGAAGTGCTGCGGAGATGGAAGAAGGAGGGAACGGACGTTGACAAGGAAATGGAGGGGAATTGGAGGATGGTCAAGACTGTTTGGGACGAGGATGTGCGGATTGCTCTGGGGGTCAAGAGCGAGTACGAGGGCAAGTAGGAGATGCATTACAAGGCAGTGTCGCGGCCGTCGTCGTCGACGTCGCTCGCTTTCGTCGCACGTGAGGTCCTCGTCGCGTTGTGTCGCGGTCTCCTCGCGCTTGTTTGACTTTGTCCGTTCGCCATTGCTCTGTGGTCGCTGTGCTGGATGAGTCCAGGTCGCCTGCACCCAGCCGAACGCCGCGCACAAGCAGACCTCGAGCGCGCCCTCGCTCTCTCGCGCTCGCAAGCTCCTCCTGCTCAGCCGACAGACTCGCAACCGCCACCGCCGACGAAGTACGGCACGCTAGGTGGTGGGACGCTCGACAACAGCAGTACGGTGCAGACGAGCCAGCTGGCAGGGACCAGTAGTACAGGCGTCTTCAGGTCGAGCAGCGACGAGCAGGTTCATCTCCCTCAGCGTCTGCCACAGCTCCCGACGTATCAGGGGCTGGAGAGGGAGGTCGTGCCGACTACATTCGCTACTACGACGGCGCCGAGTGCTCCCGCAGCCAAGGTCCTCGTGCAGGAGACTCCGTCGACCCTCTCTTCAGCGCGAGATTCGACCGGCATGAACCCGCTCATGGCAGACCCGGCTGGCATGAAGCCTTTCGGCGATGCGACTGGTATAGGAGCAATGGAGGAGGATACGAGCGGCGAGCTTGTCATTGCAGACAGCGACGGCGAGGAAGGTATGTTTGGCGACGTCTTTCCTCCTCGGACTCGTCGCTGACGTTGTCTTGCTGCCGTATAGCCGCCTCCGCCCGCCTCTCCCTCTCAGGCCAGTCTGTCGCACCTGTCGCCGGCCCATCCCGCTTCAACGCCCTCAACAACCCCTCCCCGGTCGCTCCTCCCGCAAACACAAACCTCGCCTCCTCCTCCATCCACGACACGACCACCTCTTCCCTCTCTCGCCCGAACACTACAGCGACCAACACGACTTCCACCGATCCGATCGTCACCTCGACGTCGGCAGCATCCGGTCCTTCGAAGTCGCGCTCTTCGAAAACTCATGATTTCGTGGTCGAGATCGAGTCGCCTGCGCAGGCGAGGACGTCGTCGAAGAAGAGCTCGTCTTCCGCTGAGAAGAAGAAGTCCGCGGCAAAGGAGAAGGGGAAGGGGAAGAAGCGTGCGGTTGCCGACTCGGAGGAGGACGAGGAGCACCAGTCGCGCGAAGGGGGCGAGACGGTCTACGAGCAGCCTCCTGCCACGAAGGCAAAGGGTCCGAAGCGCCAGCGCACGGCGTCGACAAAGCCGTCGGAGGAGCGCGTCTTATCGAAGGAGACGGTCGACTCGGAAAATGACGACGATGACGAGATTGTGCTCGCCTCCGCCTCCGCCTCCGCCTCGACGAAGAACAAGCGCTCGATCGTCGACGAGGAGGAAGACGACCCGCTCTCCATCCCTGGCTCGGTGTCACACAAGCCTGGTAGCAGGTCGACCGCCTCGACCTCCGCAGGAGCCGACGACGCCGACGCACGCCCAACGAAGAAGTCTCGCAAGTCTACCGCCCGCAGCGAGGCCGTCTCGGAAGACGAAGACGGGCAGAAACGTCTCGCGGAGGAGATTGCGCTTGTGAATGACCGCGTTGAGGAGGCCGATTCGGATTTCGAGACGGGCGGGAAGGGGAAGAAGGGGAAGAAGAAGAAGGCTGCGCCGAAGAAGAGGCAGAAGGAGGGGGAAAAGGCCAAGCCTCGGAGGGCGCCGACGGTCAAGAAGGCTTCGATCGGGGCGGGCGAGACGCAGGTCGTTCCCGAGACGCCGGCTGAGCCTGCTGGTACTGGCGAAGCCGAGGCGGCGGCAGACGTCGAAGAGGACGACGCGGTCATGGTCGACGCGGATCAGGCTGCGGCGGACCCGGAGATGGACCGCGAGCAGGAGGAACCTGTCGTTGCGAAGAAGAAGGCCGACAAGGGCAAGAAGAAGGCCGTCGTGCAGGACTCGGAGGAGGACGACCAGCCCGCTGCCGCCGACGCTCCAACGGCCGCACCCGCCTCTCCGTCGGCGTCAGATGCCGGTCCCGCCGCCAAGGCGAAGAAGGGCAAAGGCAAAGGGAAGGCGAAGGCGAAAACTGCGCCCGCTCCCACCAAGAAAGGTCGCAGCAAGAAGAACGTCGTTCCCGCTTCAGACGATGAGCAGAACGATGCAGCCAGCGACGCGACTTCGGCCATCAACACCGGCGACGAGTCGCCTTCCGACGAGGACGAGCAGCCCGTTGCGCGCAAGAAGGGCAAGGCGCCTAGGAAGAAGCGCGCCGCAGCGAACAAGGTCGACGACTCGCCCGCTTCGTCTCGCGCCGCCTCGACTGCCGCTCGCTCCGTCTCGCCTGCCGTCTCCCGCGCTTCGGGCAATCGTCGCTCGCTTGAGGAGAGGATGGACGCTGTGACGAAGGCTGCACAGGAGGCGGACGAGTCGTTCATTGCGGCGGACAAGGGGCACAGCGGAGCAGGCAAGGGGAAGGGGAAGTTGGTCGTCAAGGACGATGAGGAGGCGGATGACGAGGATGAGGAGGAGGAGAAGGCTGATCCTCCGTCGCCCGCATCGAGCGAGGCCAAGGTGCGTGAGCCTTCCTCGTCCCTCGCCGGCCGTCGTACTGAGTCTTCCGGCGCCTGCAGGAGAATAAGGCTTTCGCCCAAGCGAGCACGTCTCGCGGTACACCTCAGCAAGTCCAGCGCGGCCGCAGCTCGGTCGGCACGCCCGGAACGCCTTTCTCCAAGCCGCCCAAGCCAGGCAGTACGTCTCGCTCTTCCCACTTCCTCTCTTCTACGCTGAGTGTTTGTGATCGCAGGCCTCGCCGCCATCATGGCCAAGCGGGGACTCGCGACCTTCCGCCCTCCCGGCCTCTCGAATCGCGCCAAGCTCCCTCCGCTCCATACGAATCTCAAGCCTGCGCCGCCGCCGAAGAAGATCCTCAAGGAAGACAAGCCGAAGAAGAAGAAAAAGAAGGGCGATGAGAGCTATTCGGACGAGGAGAAGGTGCGTTGCGAGGTCGTTGGCGCCTCGTCGGCTTGGGACTCGTCTCGAGTATCGCTTGCTAACTCGCCGTGTACGTCCTCGTTCGAAAAGCCCTGGTGGGAGACGAAGGACCCCGAGGAGTGGGACTCGGACGACCACCGCCGCTGGCAGAAGCGCCAGCGCCGCATCGAGCGCGGCCTGCCCGCCGACTCGGACGACGACTAGCTCGCCGCCCACGCATCGCTTGATCTGTGTTATTCGTCCGTCTCTATCGCATGATCTCTGTTGCCTTTGCCACCACCCACTCGCATCTGTCTCCGTCTCTTGCTGTTGTAGCACCGCGCTTCGAAACAGCTTTGCATCGCTTGGTCACATCGCAATCACCTCACTGCACGAGGACCTGTTCAATTCGTTTTCGTTACAACGTCCCTACGACACCCACTTGAGCGTGTCCTGCTCAGCGACGACCGTCTTGCGACTCAACACCTCCTCGACCTTCTCGGCCACTCCAACTTTACCCCTCCACCTCGCAACAAGTCTCTCGACGACCTCCTGCCTCGTGACCGCATACTCGTCGCTCCCCGCATCCTCGCCCTTGACGACCTTCTCCACGTCCCGCTCGGTCGGCAACAACCACTTCGCATGAGGCGAGACGCGGTAAGTCGGGTACGCGCCCTGCGCGCGCTGCATACGCGAGAGGTTGAGTTTCGGCAAGGGAGGGTTGGTGAAGGGCGGAGGGTGGGCAAAGAACGTCTTTTGGATGTGGTCGTCCGTCACTTGGCTCAACGTCGCGGGCTGCCACTCCGGTCGCTGGACTTCGGGCTTGTTCTTCTTGATGAGGAGCTCGGTGACGCCGTGTCGGAAATCGGGGTGTACGGCGGGCGAACAACACGCGGCGGCGATTCGCGCGTCCATCTTGAACACGTCGTCGATAGTCAAGTTCCTCCCTTGACGGATCGCTTGGACGGTGAGTTTGACGCTGGTCGGACTGCGCAACTCGATCGCTTCGCGCGTCTCCTTCGCCCAACGCCTCACCTCGCTCGCATCCTCCGCGTCCCGGTCCGGATGGAGCGTGAACCGCGAGACGTCTGGCTCGGGGTCGTCCGGCCTCTCCTTCTCGTACAACTTGGCCAACTCACTAACCATCTCCTCCGGGCTTTTGCGCGAAAAGATCTCGTCGATCGCGCGTCGGACAGGTCCAACAAGCGGGTACGCCTCGAGCGCGGTCCTCAACTCGTCCGAGTCGGCAACGAATTCCTCGATGCACGCATTGACCGTCTCGTGCGTCGCCGTGACGTCCAGTTCCGACAGTCGGTGTTCGAGGTCTGCCAGCCGGTCCGAAGGGACGTAGTGCGTCGCGAGACCGGCGAGGTAGGTTGCGGCGCCTTTGAGGGGGAACGAGGTCAGGCCGAGGTAGAGACCCAGTTGGCCGTCGAGGCGCGGGAGGATAAAGTTGGCGCCGACGTCAGGGAACAGGCCGATCTTGGTCTGCGTGCGGGCGATGTCAGTGCGGCGAGTGTCGTGGGATTGGGGAGGAGACATACCTCGGGCATGGCGATCTGCGTCGTCTCGGTCGCGATGCGGAACGCGCCGTGGCCGGTGATGCCGACTCCTCCGCCGACTGCACGGTGGAAAGCGAAAGTCAGCGACTTGATAACGTCTCATCACGAAGGGTGCGCACGCACAGGTGACGCCGTTCATGATGGCGACGACAGGCTTGGGAGTCGTCGCGAGGAAGTGGTTCTGCGCGCGGATGTAAGGCGGATGAGCGAGGGGTACTCGGGGAGAGGAAGGGGGTGGACGCACGGTCTCGTACTCCTTCTCGAAGAAACTGCTCGCCTTGACCCATGTCTTCTCGTCCTCCAGGTACTTGGAGAGGGCTGCGCGGAGCGAAAGAAGGGAGGAACGGGATTCCGTCAGTTTGTCGGGACAAGGATGAGGAGGGAGAGAAGGGTGGGAACGCACTGACGACGTCTCCGCCTGCGCAAAAGTGCTTGCCGTTGCTCTTGATGAGGATCACGTTGGCCAGCTCGCTCTTTTCGAGTTTCTGCGGGTCGAGGGAGCGAGTTGGGATAGATGAGGAGGGTCAGCCCTGCCGTCCCTCCCTCTTCGGCGAGTGGTGGACGGGTTGCGCACAGTGAGGTTTGACTGGATGAGGTCGATCATCTCTTCGTTGAGCGAGTTGAGTGCCTTTGGGCGGTTGAGGACGAGCTTCCTCATCGCATTGTGTGCCTCGACGACGACGGGCTGCGCGCCAACCAGTCCCCGGATCAGTTCGTGAGACTGTGCGGTGCGAGTTCGAGTGATGCTCACCTTGTCATTGTGTGCGATGGGTTGCGGGTGGTGCGAGTGAGCGTTCCTGTGCTCGAGGTGAGCTGCGAGCATGCGAGTGCGCTTTGCCGGGGTGGACATTGCTGGTGTGCGAGAGTGAGCGTGTTGGAGAGTGTGTCTGGCAGTCGCACGGAGCATGGCAGGCAGCACGAGACGACTCGAGAGAGCTTCGGCGCGAGACTGGGCCGTGGAGCGAGAGCGGGTGGGGATGGACAGCGTGCACACAGGGATGGGCACGCGGAGGGGTGGCACTAGCAGTATTAGTATCGTGAAGCACTCGCACGATTTACTGCACACTCGGCTGAATCAGCGCATCCCGCTCTCTTTGCGCTCTCTCGCCCGCGACGCACTCGAGCTCCTTGACCGCCTCCCTCTCACTCGCAACCATCACTCACCGGCTGGCTGACCAGCTCACTCGCACGACTGGGACCCGCAAAAACAGCGCATCCAACTCGCGCACCCTCGCATCGCTCGCCTCGCGCCCTTGCTGCCCGCTCACCTCGCATCGAACCGTCTCGCTCGTTTCACGCTCCGCTCACCGCTCGCTGGGCCTTCGAGTGTCGCTTAGCTGGTCGACGATGACGCTATCACTCCCGTGCTCACCTCGCTCGACGCTCCCGCCCGTCCTCGCTCTCCCAGCCGCTCCTCTAGCCCGAATGACCCCTCCTCTCCTCCCCTCTTCACACACCCAAACCCGCCTCTACCGCCGCCCCCCAGCGCACAGTCCCACCCACCCACTCCTCGGTATCTCCGAGCTCTTGGCAAGCGCGTGAGTCGAGCGGGTGCGGACGGAAGAACGGGGGTTGGCTCTCTTCACTTCACTTCGTTCGTTGGGGTCGCTCTGAGGGCTCGGAGGCTTCCTGGCGCGCACAGTGCGTCTTCCAGGGATTGCTATGTGCGCTGATAAGGCCTGACTGACCTCTCCCCACGCGCACGCAGCCTCAACCGCACGATAAAGCTTTTCCTCCCCTCCCTCCCTCCTCGTCCTTCTCTTCCTCTTCGGCTTCGCTCGCCTCGATCTGCGATCCGCGATGGACCACTCCTCAATGGACATGTCGCAAGGCGCGATGGACATGGGCGGTGCCGGAGCTTGCAAGGTGCGCTCCTCCTCCTTGCCATTTCTCTCTCGCTCAGAATTGACGATAGCTGGGATTAGATCTCGATGCTCTGGAACTGGACCACCACAGGCGGTTCGTCCCGCTCCCCTCCTTCTCTCTTCCTCCCCTAACCGAAGACTGATCCCTCTCGACCCTCCGGCGTGGACAGCATGCTTCCTCACCCCCCAATGGCGTATCCGTTCAACCGCAGACTACATCGGTACCCTCATCGGCGTCTGTCCCCTCCCCTCCCTCCCTCCCTTCTCCCCTGGCCGTCCACTAATGCTTCCCGCGACGAGCAGGTCTTCTCCGCTGTCGTCCTCCTCGAATTCGTCCGCCGACTGGGGAGGGAGTACGATCGCTCTATCCGCGCGGGTTACTATAGGAGGGAAGAGAGGGCGTTAAGCGTGTTGGGCAAGACTTCCGCAGCGGATGCGGCCGGAGGCGAGGAGAGAGGGAAAGACGAGGCGCTGCAGGTCCAGCCTTTCAGGTGCTTCCCTTCCCTCTTCTCCTTCTCCGCTCCCTGACTGATTGAGTTGCGCGCGCAGGCCGACAACAACCCAACACCTCCTCCGCACCACTATCCACCTAATCCAATTCTCCACCTCGTACATCCTCATGCTCCTAGCCATGTACTTCAACGGCGGCGTCATTTTCGCGATTTTTGGCGGAGGAGCGGTCGGGTTTGGGCTGTTTGGGAGGGATACCGGGAGTGATTTTGTGGGCGAGGGAGGGGGAGGGAGGGAGGGTAGGGGAAGGGAGGAGGAGAGGGGGGAGTGTTGCTAGCCGCTTCAGAGGGAGTATGAGGAGGAGGAAGTGGGAGGAGCCGCTTGGGTCTCGTGTGCTGTTCCGTTCTCGTGTGTACTTACGAGGTTGTTTCGTTCGGTTGTTCGAGTTCTGCAAAGTCGTCACGCCACTCTCCATCGCTCAGTTCAATCCAAAGCGAGATTGCCAAGCTACCCTACCACAGCACCTCGATCCTAACCGGCGGCCAAGTCGGCCTACTCTTCGCAAACGCCCTCGCCAACCCCCCCGAATAACAGGGCACCATCCTCCCCTTCATGCACTCGAACGCCTCGTCCACCTCTGCCGTCCTGGACGGATCATCAGCCCTGTACCGGCCTCCAGCAAATTCCTCCCAGTCCTCTCGCGACCCGAATTGGCCGGAGAGGAAGAACGTGTATTCGTGTGGGGCTAGTTGGGCCTCGGTTTGGAGTGCGGCGCGGGCGGCTGAGAGGCCCATCGAGAGGGCGAGAAGCGGGATGGGAGGGGTGGATTCGGGAGGCGAGACGAAGGTAGACGAGAGTGAGGAGCGGTTGAGGCGGGCGGGGCGGAGGGTTGAGAGGCGCTCTGCGGCTGTAGTGTCGTGTGGAGCGAGAGATTAGCTCGTTGTGATCGTGGAATGAGCTGCGAGCGGGACGAACCCATGCTTGCGAGGAACTTGTCTCCTCCCGGTGGCAGTTCACCGCCGGTCGCGACCCAGACAGCTGAGTGCACGAGCAGCAATATCAGCGACTCGTTCTCCCTGCTCGCGTGCAGGAGGGGAGGGGAAGGACGCACCCGCCGCGGTGATCAAGTAGGTCTCGTAAGACCGCGCGATCCTTGTCAATGCCAGCTCTTCCTCCCACGCCGACAATCGACGCTCCGGCGCAGTCCCCTCAGCTGCAGTAGCCAAGTGCCCTGAGTCGGCGTCAGAAGTCGTCCTAGCCCGGGAGTCGGACCGCAGGAACTGTGCAGCCAAGTCATCAAGCTTCTTCTGCATGCGCTCTTTCACTTCTGCCAGACCGCGCTCGAGTCGGAGTCGCGGGTCTGCTTCGTCAGACCGACTCTGTGCTCGTACGTCTGACGCGGAAACAGTCACATCGACGGAAGCCTTGCGAGGGTGCACGTGAAGAGAAGAGACGGGTCGCGGGATGCGTGAAGGTCGCTGTGCGTGTTGCGCTATGGGAGAGGCGCTCGGACGTCTTGAAGTGTGTGTCTGCCCGCCTTGCATACTTGCGCGACGACGATACGGGAGGTAGGAGACGCAGGCCTGCGAGAGAAGGAAGCGACGTTCGCACAAGAGGCCTACGCTGCAGAACTCGCTTGAAGAGGCGCGTAAGAGGACCGAGTACGTCGCAAGGAGCTGTCTGACTGTCGCTGTGACTCGCGCGGGGAGTTGTGGGCGTGAGAGGCCCTTCGCTTGGAGGAAACGCTGATGAGGATGGAACGGCGCGTGAAGGCTTCGCGGGACGGATCAGACAGTCAGGCGGTACAGCGAAGAGATGGAAAGCTCGTCAGCAGCTGGAGAGGCGGAAAGCGGAAGTAGCTGGCAGAAGTTGAGGAGGAAGAGGTTAAGGAGGCGAAGTTGACCAGGTCGAGACGCCCAGACGTTGTTGTTCGGCCGCGAGCGACTCTTCACTGGCTTAGAGCTCTCCTGCGAGCTTGCGAACGAAAGGAAAGAGCAACGGCGAGCTGTACGAACTCGAGGAATTCGATGTCACGACTCCTTCCCCATCTCCGCCTACAACACCTTCGGCACGTGCGCCTTCAGGATCCCGTCCTCCCTCAGCGCCGCAAACAGGTCGCCCTCGTCCACCGCCGGCCGGACCCGCTGGAAGACGTCGAGCCGCTGCGATTCGGCCGTGACGAGGCGGAGGGCGTGCAGTTGCGAGAGGAGGGAGACGAGTTCGTTCTTTGAGGGCGCGGAGGAGGGAGTTGAGCAGAGGGACGTCTGGCGCAGGAAGTCGAGGTGCCAGGTGAGGACCTGTTGGGGCGGCGGAGGAGGTCAGTCTTGTCCGTCGACGACGAGCGAGTGCGGAAGCGGCGACGCACCGTATCGAGCTCGACTTCGGGCACACCCGTCCTCCTGACGCACTGCGCGACCGCGAGGAGCAACACCTTCATCTGCGTGCTAAGCTTCCTCACGAACGCCGCCGGTCCCTGCCTCGTCATGTCGTTGTACGCCTGCGTCGCATCCTGAATCGAGCACTTGACTTTTCCCTGCTCGAGCTCGTCAAGCGACTTGCCTTCTTTCGAGAGACGGAGGGCTACGCGGTCGAGTGTTCGGCGGGCGACGTCGAGCGCTTTGCGTGCGTCGCCGGAGATGCCAGCGACTGATTTGGCGATCTTCTGCAGCGCGACGTCGTCGAAGAGCGGGGTGGACTTGGACTTGACGGCGGAAGAGGGGTCGACGAGAGCGAGGCGGGCTTCGAGGATCCGCTTCAACTCCGTCCAGGTGTAGGGCTGGAAAGGGATGCGGTTCGTGCCTGTCCGCGCGCGCAATTAGCAAGCGTCAAGCGTCGAGAGAAGCGAGTCAAACGCACCCAGTCGACTCCTGATCTTCCCGCTCAACTCGCGTTCGGGCAAGTCCATCGTGTTGGCGACAGCGAGAACGACGAGCCTCGAGTGCGGGACGTGCGGCCAATTGAAGAAGTTGTAGAGGACGTCCTGACGCTTCGTCAACATCTGGTCGAGCTCGTCGACGAGGACCACGCTGTTGTGCTCGTCCAGGTCAGCTCGCGAAGGAGGGGAAAGAAGGGAGGTACGCACGTCGTCTTCCGCGCCGGGTCAGGGTTCGCAAAGTGGTTCTCGAGCGCTGCGAGAGCCGCCTTCGGACTGACTTTGCGTCCGCTTTGCTGCTGGTCGGGCGGGGCGAGTGCGGCCCAGAGGTGCGAGAAGGCGGCCATCGGTTCCGAGATCTTCATGCCGTTGATCTCGACGAAGGCGAAGCCGTCCATGTCCTGTGATTTCGGTACGACACCTCCATCAGCACGCCGCCTTGACTTGAGACGAGAGCCGAAGGGAACCGCCTGGACGCACCTCATCGTTCTGCAACTCCCGCACGACACTATGCACCGTCGCCGTCTTCCCCGTTCCCGGCACACCATGGACATACAGACACCCTCCGCTCCGTCCCAGCACCGCATCGCCGATGAACTGCCGAATCTGCTCGCGCTGGTCTTCGCGGCAAGGAAGCGACTCGGGCGTAGCCGAGACGTGCAGGAGAGCCTTGGCGCGCTCGAAGGGCGTGAGGGAGGCGAGGTGGGCGGATTGGAGGAGCGGAGGGAGGGCGTTGTGCGCAGAGTCGGAGGAAGTCTTGCCGGAGGAAGCGAACTTGCGACGTTTCGCCGCTCGGCCTGTTGCGGCGGACGTCGCGGGTCGAGTGCGCTTCAGGCGCGTCGCGGCGGTCTTGCGGGAGGATGAGGCGGCGGAAGCTTGGCGCTCGCGGAGGGGTTTGCGCTTTGTAGGCGTGCGAGAAGCGCTCTCGTCTTCCGAGGCGGATCCATCCTCCGACTCGTCGCCTGCGGTGCCAGACTCCGAGTCTGACGACGACGAGTCGCGGTCTTTCTGCGAGAGAGAGAGAGAGATAAGCCTAGTCTTCAACGAAAGCAGGAATGAGGCGACTCACGAAAGCATCCTCCTCGTCCTCCTCATCCGACGATCCCTCACTCTCGCTCACCGCTCCACTCGCCGCCCTCCTCTCTTCCCTCTCCTTCTCCTTCCTCTCCCTCGTAGCCCTCGCCTTCTCCGCCCTCTTCCTCCTCCTCTTCCTCTCCTCCTCATCCTCACTCTCGCTCTCACTGTCCTCCATCACAGCCTCCACATCCCACCCATCCTGCGCAACATCCTTCTCCCTCCCTCCCTCCTTGCGCTCGACCATCCCCATCGTAGACTCGTACCACTCGACCGCTTTGAGCCGGTGTTCGTCCCAGTCGATCTCGCCCCAGAAACTGGCGCCGGGGATGGGCTTGACGTCGTAGACTCGTCGGCAGAGGAAGGTGGGAATTGGGGATTGTTGGGAGGCTGTGATGGTGGGATTTGAGGGGTCGGGCAGGGAGGAAGGGGAGAAGATTTCGGCGTGAGAGAGGATAGTCGACACAGGGATTGGGTCGGAATGCTGAGGCGTTCGGAAAACAGCGGACGACGAGACGAATGCCGAGTTGGTGCGAGAGGGGGAGGAGACGGCGCTGGTCGAGCCGGCGTCGCGGGAGCGCTTCGAGGGAGACCCGGCGGGCGAGGAGAATGGGTTCGCGGCAGCTCGTTGGCGCACGACGCGCGATTCCTCGAGGTGTGTCGAGTCGGAGGTGAAGTAAAGTTCGTACTGGGCATCGGGACCCAAGGACGCATCGGGCACAAGTCAGCCTGGCGAGAACCGCTCGATGAGCTGGAAGGTCGAACGCACGGGCAAGACGTCTCCGGCATCGTCGTCCTCGTCCGGTCCATCAGGTCCCCACACCGCTCCGGGCCTGGCGAACCACCTAACGAGCGCCATCTTCCGTCCCCTGACATCCTCAAACAGGCGAGTGATGACCGCGACCTTGTCTCCCGCATTCAAGCCGTCCTCGTGTCTCCATCCCTCGGGTTCTCCGTCCTCCTCGTCGTCCTGAGAACGCTTCTTGCCCCTCCCTTTGCCCTTCTTGCCCTTCCCCTTGCCCTTCGCCTCGACCTGCCAACTCGGCGGCGCCAGAAACTTCTGCTTCAACTTGGCGTCCGCGCCGACAACCACCGTGTCGCCGACGCGAAACTCAACTGTCGTCTCTGTCCCGCCTACGCAGGTCGAGCGGGTGAAGGAGCGGTAGTCTGTGTCGTTGGAGATGCGGGAGGAGCGAGAGGCGCGCTTTGAGGGGGTCGCGGGGGCGGAGGGCCAGTCAGCGTGAGTTGCCGAGGGCCAGGTGTCTGTGTGTGCGGGTGGCATGGCTCTGGCGAAACTGGAGAGCGGAAGGGCGAGGTGAAGGTGATGAAGCGCGGTCGCGTCGCAACGGGATGAGGAGGAGGTCGGAGAGGAAAAGCGCTCTGTGCGGTGTGTGAGGGCGCGTATAAGCCTGTATACCGTCTGTAAGCAACCTTGGGCAGCAGCGAGGCGAGTGAGGGTGAAGAGGCGGAAGTTGACCTTGTTCTCCTCCTCGACGCAGCTTGACCTCGTCCCGCTCAGTCGCACTCCGCCTGGACTCTCGCTGGCGGCGCTAGACTGCTTGGCACTTTGTTCGCAAACTGTAGAGGCGCGCCCGACTCGCCCCAAACGGTTCTCTCGCCTCGGCGGCCTTGGTCTTTCGCTGCCCTCCTTGCGCCTCTCCCGCCTATTTCTGAGTTGTCTAGCCATCTTGGCCGCATTGCAGACACGTATAGAAACTCGCGAGCAGCAGCTGAAGGCAATCTGCCGAGGCTCAGGTCTCGCTTGCGTCTCCTGGCTCTCTCCGTTGAGCTAGCTCTTCGCGCTCTCCAATCCGGTAGTGCCGGCGAGAGCCTGCGCTGCCTGGCTCTCACATTGAAGCAGACTGTATCACAGGCGTTATCCTTGCAGGGTCCACAGATCAGGACCTGGACGACGTGAGCCAACTGGCGAACAAACGAGGACGCTTCCCTCGCGCTCGCTTTCCCTTGCTTGCTTGGTTTCGCTCTGTACATCCTCTCCTCTTCACCATACGGGTGTGGGCTGGACCGAAGCTCCGCGGCTTTGCTCAACGAACGCGCTCGAGTCGCGAACATCACACGCAGACCTGCTGCGCTGCCTCTCGAGAATTGCAAAGCTACTGTCGCCGATGGAGGGCTTCTGTCGCAACGAGTCCTCACTAGGCAGCGAGCGTCTCCAAAACCCCTTTACCAGCGAGAGGCGGTCGATGCAGGGTGACAGCGGGGCAAGGAAGAAGCCAGGACAGAGCACGACTTCGTGGAAGCTTTGTTACTGGAATACGCGCCTCCAGTGCACGTATCTGTGCATCAGCAGCGACAGCAGCCCTCCTTTGATCGTGCGACGGTGCGTGTCGAGGGGAAGCCTCGTCCTCAACCTCTTCCTCCTCGTTCACACACGACAGCTCGCTCGTCTGCCCAGCTGGACACACAGAGCTCACTCATAACGCTCGATTGCACCGCTCCTACCTCTCTCACCGCCTCGCGACCGCTCCTGGCGCCGCTAGCTCGACTCGCCGCTTCTCGTCTCTCCGTCCGCTCGTGCCGCGCGATGGCACCTCCTGCGATACCTGGCATGCGCTTCGGAGAACCAGTCCCAAACGGTACGTCTCACTCTGACTCGCTCCGCCGCGCGAGGCGTTTAGAGCGAGCCTTCACACGCTGACGGCCTCCTCTCCTCCTCGCTCACTCTACTCGCCCTGTCGACACAGATTTCGGCGCCTGCATGCAATCTCAGCCCACCGACACTCGCCAACCGGGAGCTCCGCGACGCTCAGACCCCTTCCCCTTCACCTTCGCGCGTCCCGCCGGTCGCGCGTCTCGTCAGTCGATGCCGTTCGGGAGGAGTGGAGGGTGGATGAGCGAAGAGAGTGAGGAGAGTGAGGATTGGACTGATGAGGAGTTTGGAGCAGGTGGGGCGGAGGGGATGGAGGGTGTTGAGGGCGTTGGAGGGAACGAACGGTGAGGCGACGAGGTTCTTCTCAGTTGTGTATGGCTCCAACGAGCGTATCACGCTAATGAATGGTGTCTCTGTGACTCGCAGGGCCGCGCCGTCTGCCGCGACGCAAGCCGGCAAGGCCCTTCGCGACTTCAAGCGAAGTGCGTCTCGCCCTCTTTTTTGCTCCCACCTCGCTGACCCCCTCCCCTCCTCAAGTGCCAATGGCGAACGAGCCAACGGACGACCTCGTCGCTTTCAAGGCGACCTACGCCAGCAGCCTCGACAAGTCGAAGCAGATTCTCGTTTTGATGGGCGAAAAGAACAGGGATGCCCTTGCGTGAGTCGCCTTGCTGTCCGCCGTGTCTCCGCTCGTATGGCTGACGCTCTCGCTTGCGCAGTGCTCAACTAATCGACTATGAAGCACGCAAGCGCAAGACGGTCGACATCCTCGAGGAACAGAAGCGCAAGCTCGTCGGCGACATCGCTGCCGCTGACTACGTTAGCTATCGTTCCCCTTCTTCACAGCAAAGTATACGACTGATACCAGCGGTGTACTGCGCGCGCAGAAGAAAGGGGCCGAGTTGATCGACCGCCTTGCCTCGCTCGCCTCTCAGGCCGTCCAGAACCGCCACCAAGCCAAGCGCGACCTCGAGCAGATCCGTGCGCCAACCTCCCTACCTCTTGCTGCTCTCTACAAGCACGCTGTCGAGCGCCCAGACGCACCAAAACGACAATTGACCTTCCTAAATCCCATGCTCCGTACACAGGTACAAACACCTCCGCCCGCCTTGAGTCGCTCAAGAAGCAGTACGAGGCCAGGACGAAGGACTTTGCGAGTGCCATGGGAGAGCTGAGCGCTAAGACGGCGCAGGGGCTAGGCGCGAAGGGCGCGAAGGGAAAGGGAAGGGGGAGGAAGTAGGGTGTCGGTTGTTTTCGTCGCTGAATCGCGGTTGTTCGTCAGCTTCCTCTCCAGCCTCTCGTTCGACGAGAGAAGCATCTTGAAGAGTCGGTTCCCAGTCTGCAAGACCTCATCAGCCCGCTCAATCTCCTCCGCCGCTACCAACCGGGGTCCCCCTTCCGCTCGCATTCCCATTCGCACCCACACCAGCCTGAGCGCTGCGCTCTCGTCTGATCGCCAATCCGAGAAGGATCTTGTTGATTGTCGCGCGGATGACGAACTGCTCTTTCGCGAGGAGGCGGACGCGCTGGTTCACGGACCGGCGTGAGCACCTGCTCGGAGACTTGTGAAGAGGATGCAGAGAATCACACCTTCAGGAAACGGTCAAGGTCGATGTTGGCTGTACCCGAGTTGAGGCCGCGTCCGAGGGCGTAAATCGTGTCTTCGAGAGCGGCGTCTTCTGCGACGAGGTCAAGCAATCTGTACAACCACGCAAGCTGGTCAGCATCCACAGTCGTGAGGGACGGCCATGCATGCGCCGGTGATGTCGCTCGACGCACTGGGTGTAGACGACCGTACTGCCGCAGACAATCTCGTCTACCTCAACACCCTCTCCTCGCGCCTCGTACTCGCGCAACCTGCCCTCCGCCTGATCCACAACCTCCGCATACCTATCCCTCACGCCAAGACACACGCTCCTGACCGCTTCGAGGCGAGCCATCTCGTCCTCGATTGCAGGTTGCGCCTTCTCGAGGTCAACGCGCATCAAGTCGAGTTGCGAGAGCTCGGCTTCGGTCGAATGTGCGAGAGTCGTGAGTGATGAGACGAGTTTCGAGTGCACGCGCGTGCGAAGGGCGAGAAGAGCCGGGTTAGGCGGGACAGGCGGTGGAGCAGCAGGACCGCCTACGACCGAGACGGAGGTCGGGGAGGCGATGGACGAAGGCGATGCCGAGGAAGGCGAGGCGAGATCGTCGTCTGCCGCGTCGAGGATGTTGAGCGGGGTGGCCTTTGCTGGTCTCGCCTTGCGAGCAGTTCGAGCGGCCGAGACGACGGGAGCAGGCGGACTTGGTACCGCTGCATATGGCGCAGGAGGCGGTAAGTGTCCGTTCGGTCGTACCGCAGTGATTGGCGGTGCGGGCGGTTGAGGCGGAGGAGGGGACGACATCGCTGAGGACTGTGGAGGGAGGTAAGACGGGTGAGGCGTGCCGTATGGGGCGTATGATGTTGCGCTGGACGGCTGATGACCCTGGTGCGTTTCAAGCGAGGACTGGCGAGGCGGCTGACGAGGCTGGTAGGGGACAGTCGGTCCCGGTGCACCCCTCGATTCGATGACTGGCTCGAAGGGCGAGCTGGCCGCCGATTCCGCGTAAGCCGCTGGCTCGGGTTCACGCTGGTAGTAGGTCGTGGCCGAGCGAGCTGGCGGCGGTAGCGGAGCAGGCTCCGCTGCCCGTCCCGGCGCGCGGTAGACCTCCTCGTGCCGACCCGAGTACCCCGACGCCTGACTGTACAAGTCGTCGTCCGTCATCGTCGGCACGCCACCCATCGACGTCTGCTGCGACGACGGCATGTACGAGCCGTACTCGCCGGTCGCGCTGTACTCGCTCGGGGGCGGCGGCGGTCGAGGACCGCGAGACCGGAACGGCGCAGTCGACGTCGAGCCGGCCTCAGACGGCGTGGGAGTCGGAGAGGCAGTCTGTTCGCGCAGAGACCGTCCCGCATGCTGTCTTCCTGGCTGCGATGGCGGCGGCTGAGGAGGCGAGATAGGCACAGGCGGACCGCGCTGCGACCCAATCGAGGGTTGCACCGCGTGATGCGCCTGCCTCGGAGCGCGGTGATCGGCAGGCGGCTGCGGCCGCTGAGCGTAGGAGGCGTAGGACGCCGTCTCTGAGGGCGCAGGCGAGTAAGGCCGCGTCTGTTGATGCGGATGCTCGTGTCGAGGTCTCGGCGGTTGCGGCGGTGTCGGCTGGTAAGAGCGCGCCGAGTCGATGGAGGCCCGGCGCTGGTCGTCTGCGTAGCGAGAGTCTCGTTGGCGAGGCGGATGGGGCGGATGACGCGGAGCGACGACGGAGGGCGCAGGCGAGTAGGCTCGGACGGTCGAAGTCGCGGGCGAAGCAGGGCGAGGCGATGCGTGTGTAGGAGGAGGAGGAGGATGTGCGAATGGAGGTTGTGCGTATGAGTCGCGAGAGGGGGCAGCCGACTGTAGTGGCTGTTGATACGAGGGCGGCGCGGCGTGACCCACTGCCTCAGGATGATCTTGAGCGTGCGGTGGTTGCGAGAAAGCGTTCTCCGGGTGGAGCGCGGCCGGCGGAGACTGATTCGGCGGCTGCACGGGTGCTGCAGGCGGAGCCGGCGGAGGGGAGCCATAGCCGAGGATCGTGCTTGTACGCTGAGGTGGCGGTACGGGCGGGTGAGCTGGAGGCGGCCGAGGTGGCTGAGCTGGGTAGGCTGGAGGCGGTCCGGGAGGTTGAGACTGCGCGAAGGCCGACAGTCAGCCTCAATCGTATACAGAGCGCTTAGTCTACGCACGAATGACCCGGGGAGCGCTCGTTGGGCCGGAGAACCGCTAGGTGGCGAAGGACGGGGAGGCGGAGCTGGCGAGCCTGACAGGCGTGAGCCTGCGGGACCAAAGCCTGAAGCAATGCCAGGCTCGAACACGCCCGACGACGGCCGGCTGCCATTCTGCGTTGCTCCAGGCGGTAGTGGCGGACGAGGCGGAAGCCCGTTCGCTGGAGGGGGAGAACCGACGGGAGGAGGAGGTCGTGGCGGAGGAGGCTGTGGGGCCTGATTCTGCTGCGACGGTGAGGAATGGCCCTGAGTCGCTTCGGGCGTTGCCGCAGGGCGAGGCGGGCGGGGTTTGGGCTGAACGACCGAGACAGGGTATCGAGCCGAGAAGACAGGGACAAGGTCTTCGATGAGGCCGGTGAGGGAGCAACCCTGCACCCGACGTATCAGTATCGAGGTGAGGCAATACGAATGGATCTCTGGGGACGCACCTCAGCCTTTCTCGCCCAGTTGTCCAGGTACGGCACACCCACTTTCCCGCTCGCATCGACGTTCTTGCCCTTCCGGATCGCCAGCGTCTCGCTGGGCAGCACAAACACCGTCGGCGGCTTTGCTGGAAAGTCGAGGGGCAGCCAGATGGCGATAGGACAGTGGTAGGTGTTCGGGCCGATTGGGACGGGGAGGACACCCGTCAGCGAGAGGAGGAGCTCGACTCGGCCGTCATCGTATGCTGCAGGGAGGATGTTGTCAGCTTCTGATAACTCGAATACAAGGGCTTGTCGCACTGAAATCGCTCTGCTCCGGGTTCAGCAGCCCTGGATACGCCGCCAATACCGCGAGCGCCTGTGCGGCCGCCTGATCCCGATGCGGGTACTGCGGGACCATATAATCAGCTCGCTGCAATCCGAGAAGCCTGTCAGGCTACGTACATGCCGTGTCAGCGCCGCGACTGTCCTCTCCATCCCGTCCCAAGTCGATGAAGCGAGGTGGGGGAGACGACACCGCTCGAGTGTTAGAGGGACCAGCAGATGGCGCACAGAGGCGTATCAGAGCAGACGATCAAAGTGCAACAGCGAGCGAATCAAGCCGAGCGATTTGAGCGAGGTGGAGTGAGCGGGATTGAGGAAGAGGAGGTCGACGAGGAGGACAAGACGACGAGCTTCTTTCGACTCGCAGACGCGCTCTTCGTACTCACGAATGACTATCAGAGCGCAGTGAACGACTATGCATTGTAAGATGCTATTGATGCGGTATGCAGCCGACTCCCTCGCCCTTCCTCACATCGCATTCGAGATCTTCCACAGCGTAGGCTTGCGCTGTTTCCGCAAGACGTTGACCGCACTTCCGCCTGCACCGCCGCCGAAGAGGAGGACGACAGCTTCCTCGAACTCGGGTGGAGGAGACGAGGGAGAGGCAGATTGCTGGACGAGGGCCTTGCGAGCGGCGACGACCTTTTTGGCAAAGTTGACTGTGGTGTGGTGTAGTTGGGTGGCGAGAATGGTCGCGATGGAGGAGGAGAGCGTCAGAATCGGCTCGAGCAGACAGCCCGGAAGGGAAGAGACCGCGAGTCACGCACATCGCTCCATGTCACCGGGTGCCTCGAACCTCTTGTCCTCGACAACCGCTTTGAACATCTCAAACGGCAACCTCTTGAGCACGTTGACGAGCGCCGGTTGCGCCTGTGCCTCGGTCGCTGGTGCGAAGGCGCCCATCTCGGCTGGCAAGCGGGTGATGCGGTCGAGAAGCACGACGCGGAGGCGGGATTCGTACAATGCGGGGACGGGCGCAGCGCTGCCGTTGACGGAGGAAGGGAGGAGTGGCGAAGTGCTGTTGGTGCTGGGCGAGGGCGAGGGAGGGATCGAGGTGCCGTTCATCGCGGGTCCGCCGAACGTGATGGGCGTTGCAGGACCCGGTGCGCCCTCCGTTGCGCGCTCACGCTCCACGTACGCGACCCAGCGCATGACCTCCTCCGGCGTCTTGGCTTCCCGCACGGCCGCCTCGCACATCTCGTACGCCAAGTTGGCCAGGCGGGTAAGGGAGAGGAAGGTCGCAACGGCAAGGACGGAAGGAGCGATCTCGGGGTTGAGATGGGAGAGAACGGTGGGCGAGTAGAGGGAGGCGAGAACCAATCCGAGCGTATTGGCGTTGACGGCAGGGTCGGGGATGTTCACGAAGATGGTGGGTCGAGGTGAAGACGCCAGAGCGGCTTGGATACTGCAGAAATGGTTGCAGCTTAGCTCGCAGGACTCCGGAACCGTGAGTAGGGAAGGGAGCGCACAGGTGTCGGAGCAAGGGAGACCTCGAGACGACGACGCTATGCAGCGCGAGCGTGTGCTGCTGCCCATCCGCCAAGCTCGCCACAAGCTGCACATCGCTGAAGTCGCAGGAAGTGTAGCCCGCAAGCTGTTCCAGGAAAAGCGATGAGGAGAACAAGCGCGGTCAGCACAGTCGCTGCTGCTCGGCTGACAGTACAAATGCACTCACAAGGTGGTTCGCAAGGTCTGCGTAGTGCGCAGCGTACTCCTGAGCGATACCAGCGCCCGCGGACAACGACGAGGTCGAGGGTTGCGGGTGTACTGGCGCTGGAGGCGCGCCGTTGACAGGCGGTGCGGTCGGCTGAGCGTGCATATTCATTTTCTGAGCAGCTGGACAGCACGAGCGAGGCGAAGTTGGCGGAAGGAGGAGAAGGAAGGAGGCAACCTTGCGAGCGGGAGTATGCGAATCGTTACAGGCGGGACGCTCGATAAACCCAGTCCAGAGCAGCTTGCAGCGACGCCTAGACGAGCAAAAGGCCTCGACGAGGGAATGACAGTCTCTCTCCGGGTGAGATGCGGGATGGCAGATCGTTCTTCGTGAAGTATGCTACAGGGCTGATGTGCTGGGACGTCTCCAGCTTGTCTGAATTCTCGACAGCTTCTTCAAGCAGCGATCTTGGGCGGCTCCGCCTTGCCGAGAGGCGGGTCGACCCAGATACCCTGACAAGCGAAGCGATTTCTGTCAGTTCAGGGCTACACACCGCACGAGGGAGAGAAAGCAGCGCACCAGATGACGCTCCGCGTCGTCAGGTGTCTTGCCGGGAATCGTGATGCCGCTCATGCTAGGGGAGTTGATGTGCTTCGCAAGCTCCTCGACCATCGCAGGCTCCATCCCGTACTCGCGTGACACCTTGTCGAGCTCCTCCTGCGTCGTGCACTTCTTGCGAGCGTCGAAGAGGCTGAGCAAACCGCCGGCCGACAGCTGGTTCCGTACGGGCACCTTCTGTTCGGCCGCTTCCTCAACCCGTTGTCGCTCTGCGAGGATGCCCAGCATCGGGTTGTCCTGCGTGCGTGCGATTGCTCGTGTCAGCCTGACCATCACATACTCACAGAACGATGGCCGGACGTACTGTTCGATGTGTAGTGGGCTCACCCTTCCCTGGGACCTTGACCTGACCCAGAGCAGCGAGATTCCGAGCGAACGAGGGATCCTGCGCGTCCTGCATGATGGCTGCGTGCACCAGAAGCGTATCAGCGTCTGCTCCACGTCGCCCGCTGCTCCGCCTGACGCACCCTCGCTCTTCGTCTCGCTCGCTTGAGGCAGCGGCTGAGATGGTCGACCGCGCGCCTCTGCAACCTGCTGCCCGATGGGTTTCTGGCCGAAAGCGGGCATCCTGGATGGCCTGGCCTTTGTGGCCTGCTTTGAAGCTCCGGCGCCCATTGTGTAGCGAGTGAGAGTGAACAGCAGATGAGGAACCCCCTCGACGAGGGTTGGAGGAGTACACGACGCCGCTCTTCCGCTAGGAGGCCTGGCTCCTGGCTTAAGCATCAGTCAGACCGCTATGAACGCAGACGACACTGCTTGGACCGAGCCCATCGCCTCAACGTCCCGGGTGCGTCCATCTCCCCACCTCGCGTGTTGACATCTTCGCGGCTGACCTCGTCCCGGACACGCAGGCCGTCTTCACGCTGCCCTACAAGGCGAACGACGCGCAGGAACAGGCTGAAGCGGACTTTGCCGGTGGGTAACGGGCTGGGAACGCCGGCTAGACTCGCTCGTTGACCTTTCTCGCGGCTACAGATGCTGCCGCTCTCGAAGCGTATCAGAGCGCGTGGAACGAGTGCAACGGCAAGATTCAGGTGCGCCTTGACTTCGGATGGCGCCGCGCAAATCAGCTTAACCTTCCCTCCCGCAGGCTACCCTTTCCAGCCTGCACGACGCATCGCTCGACCAGATTGTCGCCTTCGTAAGGACAGCAGCAGACGGTGGCGACTCACTCTACACTGCGCTGAGCGGACGGGCTTTGCTGAGAACCGGACTCATCGTCGGTACGTCCGCTTCTCGATCGCTTCTCCGTCCGGCTTGTCTGACCCGCTCGCGTTCGCAGGCGCCAGTCCCGGCTCCTCGTCTCTCCTCTACTCCTCTCTTATCCGCCAACTCACCCGGTCCACCTCGACGAACTCGTCTACGGCTCAACGCCCTTGCCTCGTCTCGCGTCTCGCCAGCCGCGACTGCTCGAACATCAAGAACGCCCTGCGGAGCCTGATAGGCGGTTTCATTGGGAGCGATGTCGAGATCGAGGCGGATGACGAGGGCGAAGAGGAGGACCAGCATGTGCGTACAGCCTTTTCTCTTCCAGCGCGTTCGCTGACTGTTCTTGCTCGACAGGTCGGAGGTCCTGCGACGCTGAAGAGCGCACTCTTCGTTCCGGAAGACATGCTCAACCTCAAAGCGTGGTACGAGCATCGCTTCGGGAAGAAAGGTGCGCGAGGGAGACCGCCTCATCCGACGGGACGGACTGACCTGCCTCCGGCAGACTCGGACAACGCACCGACAGTCGTCGTCCTGCTGGAAAATCTCGAGGCAATGGATGGCAAGGTCTTGACGCAGATGATCGACTCCCTCTCGTTTGTCTCCGTGTGCAATCTCCGCAAGACCGACCAGCTGATGCTTGTCGTCGGTCGCAGACACTATGTCGACACGCTTCCGCTCGTCTTTCTTGTTGGCATCGCCACCACGGTCGATGCCGCTTACTCACTTCTGTCGCGCAAGACGGCTAACAAGCTCGACGCCTCGAGCTTCTTCGTCGACCCGGGCGTGAGCGCGTTCAACGCCCTCGTTCGCGGGGTGAGCGTGCTCGTCTCCGTTTTGCTTCATCACGTCGCTGAAACGCGTCTCTGTTTGTAGGTCTTCGTCGACTCGCAACCTCCGCTCGGCCTCGCGCCAAAGCTTTATACCGAGATGTGGCGGACATTTGAGGACCTGCACCACTCGGTCGACGCGACGATCTCGTTCATCCAGGTGCGTCGTGCATTCGCTGTTTGCGGACTGCACTGACGGGAAGCTCGTGCAGGTCGCGTACATGCACCACTTCACCTCGCAACCGTTCGCCTCCTTCACCCGTCCAACTCCAGCTTCACCGCCTACTCCCGCTGCCTTCGAAGCTCTCCGCACCCTCCCCTCTCTTTCGTCTGCGCCAGACCTCGCCGCAAACATCCTCAATCCCTCGACTTCTCCCACTAACGTCCTCTCCGAAGTCGAGATTTGCCGACAGGCCGTTTCGATGTGGCACGCCGAGCGGAGCGTTGCATTCGAGGCTTTGATGGCGGCGATGGAGTTCTGGGAGAAGCGCAAGCCGATGGAGACGATGTTGGCGATGGTACTTGGCGAAGGCGGCGAGAAAGGCCTGGCTAAGACGGTTGACGACCTGTGCAGTCTCGTGCTGTACGCTCGCGGTCAATCTCAATCTATGAAGACCTATGCTGACGTTTCCTGATGGAATAGACAAGCTTCGTCGACAAAACTTCCTCTCTTTCTCTCTTTCCTCCTCGATCGCCTCTCCGCCTTCCTCGTTTCCCGCCCTTCCCTTCCGACCGACCTCGCCGACTACGTCTCCTCCCAAGAAAGCGTCTTGAAGCCCATTCTTGACGCACCTCGACCAATCGGCCGCTCGACCCTCTTCAACTCGAACATCGCCGGAGGACTCGCTTTGCCCGGTATGGGTGTTGGAGGAGGAGCATCGTCGGACCTGGATAGGCAGTTCTCAAAGGTGGCGAAGGAGACGGCGGATGGGTTGAAGAGCAGGCTCAAGTGCGTGAGAAGCTTTCTTTGAGGGACAGTCGGCTGACGTCCTGGTCCCGCTCGCAGAACGGCACTTCGGCCCTGCACCGATTTGCTCTTGCACGAGGTCTGGTTCGCGAACGACTCGACAGTCATGAAGGTGCGTCTCGCAGCTCGCTTGAACGGGTTCTCGCATCCCTCGATTGACATCTCTCGCCTTTCGCCATGCTACAGCGCCATCACCCGACTCCTCTCCCCTCCCTCTTCCGCACCCTCTCGCGGCTCGACCCCTTCTCAGACCCATCCTACCAGCCCGACCCCTCCGAACCGCCACCCGTCATGCACGACCTCGTCATCGCCTACCGCACCTACGCCGAGACGCATCCTTCGGGTAGGCTGGCGAATCTGGGAGAGTGGTGGGGCGGGTTCGAGTTGCAGGCGGCGGATGAGCCGGAGAAGGGCGATGAGGCGGGAGAGAGTGCGGCGAATGGGGACAAGGGGAAGCAGGCGAACGGGAAGAAGAGGGGGAGGAATGGTGCAGATGCGGATAGCGAGGAGCAGGACGAGGATGAAGAGGAGAGCGAGAGTGAAGACGAAGATGTGGGACCTGCGCGGCGGAAACAGGCGCGGTTCCTCCGGGCGATTGGCGACCTCGCACACCTCGGCTTCATCCACCCGACGACGTACAAGCCCGAGCACGTCCTCAAGAGCGTCTACTGATAGTTCGCAATGCCACACCTTCCCGCACGCTCCGTTCGCGAGAGTCTAGGAACCTCCGCCGGCGGGAGGTGCTCCTGCGACTGCTGCTCCGCCTCGTCCTCGACCTCGACCTCGACCTCGTCCGCGCCCTCCACGCCCTCCCTCATTGCCGCCGCCGCGTCCTCCGCCTCGGCCGCGTCCCCGTTGACCGCCAGCTCCGCCCACAGGAGTCGGAGGACCCGTACTGGCGAGAACGGGCGGCGGTCGAGGAAGCTGGACCGCAGGTGTGCTCGGGAACGTCGCAGGCGGTGCAGGAGAGACGGCTTGCTGCATCGGGCGAGCGGGGTTGCGCAGAATCTGCGGTTGGGGCGAGAGAATCGCTGTCTGTTGAGGCTGTTGCTGCGGTTGCGCGGCTCGCTGTTGCTGCTGAGCGGCGCGATGCTGCTGCTGGAGCTGCTGTCGGACCTGCTGGGCCTGAAGAGCGGCATTGCGTTGCGCTTGTTGCTGCTGCGCGCCGACCGAGCCTGGCGGGTAAGGGATGTGCGGAGCGGGCGGAGTCGCTTGTCCTCCTGCCGCAGACGCAGGTCGAGTCGGCGGTTTCGAGCCTTTCCCGCCTTTCGCTGCGCCACTGCCCGAAGCCGCTGCGCCGGGAACAGGCGTCGCGCTCCGGCTCGACTCCTTCGACTTGCCCTTTCCCTTCTTCTCCTTCGCCTTGTCCTTCTTTCCGCCCTTCGCGCCCTTCCCCGCCGACGCTTGAACTCCACCGTGCACCGCAGTCGCAAGCTGAGCCTTCGTCGCGCCAGGGAGGACGATGGGTCCTTTCCCCTTGATTGCGGCGAGAGCCTGCTTCCGCGAGGCTTTGGAGGCGGCTTTCTGCTGGCGGAGGTATTCGAGGAGCGGCGTTGACTTCGGGTTCACAGCAGCTATAGAGAGACGAGGTAAGCCGCAGTGAGCGAAGGAAGCAATCAAGGGTAGACGAACGGGTCTCGGCCGGCTGAGGAGCTGCTGGCGCAGCCGCGAGCGCCTCTTGGAAAGCGAGAAAGTCCGGGTCTGGCGCAGGGTGATCCAACGTCAGCTTCGAAGTGGACAAGGTCACGCAAAGCTCGCTCACCGTCGTCGATTGTACCCTGGCGAGGATCCGCTTTGGCTGGAGCTGTCGGCATCCGCTGGTACGGCGCGAACTCGACGACCGCCTGACTGACGTTGCCTGCAAGAGTCGTCGGACGGTCAGAATGGTCCGGAAGAACGCAGGCCGAGCAGGCGCACCAGCCTTGTCGCGGAAGCTCCACCCGTCGTAGCCGCGACTGAACGCAACAAGCGCGTCGGCGGTCCTGAAAGTGATGTACGCTCGAGACTGAACGCTGTCCTTGTCCTTGCCGCTGCCACAGGGGCGCAGCGAGGTCAGCACGACGAGATTGATGAAGCGAGCGAACCGAGAGCGAGGACGGTGAGCTCACCTCCTGCGGACCTTGCCCTGCTTGTACTCGCTCCAGACGACCTTCTCAGCGCCCTCCTGGCCCTCGCCGTCCGCGTCCTCGCGCGTAACCCATGGCGAGACGGTCTTCCAGAAGACGGCGGGGGGAAGGTCGGGAGGAAGCCTCCGCACGACCAGCTTGAGCCGCTGGTTGCTCTGCCCTTTGCTGCCAGACTTCGGTGGAGCCATCCCACGTCGGAGCGGGCAGTCCAGCGGGACGAGAGCGGGTGGTGACGACGGAACCCCCTCTTGTCCTCGAACGCTTCACTGCTCCTCCTCACGTCGTCTTCAAAGGCTACGAGCAGCATGCCAGACACTCTCACGCTTCTTTCGCTCCCGCCGGAACTCATCGCGGTCGTCCTGAGCTTCACCGACTTCCCCACCCTCTCCCGTTCAGTTCAGACCTGTTCGACCGTCCACGACGTTTGGAAGGGCTACCAGAACCATCTCTGCCGCCTGATCTGCATCAGAACCGGTCTCGCCGACGCCCAAACGGCCGGAGCCAGCGCTTCGCTGCACAAGGACCCGCATTGGACGGAGAAGGGTCTTTCGGAGGAGCTGGATCCTGCGGAGTTGCAGACGGTCGTCCAATCGCAGGGATGGATGGGCCAGCATGACGAGCTTACGAGCTGGAAGGAGTACGGTGCGCAGCGAAGTCCCGCATGCTCGACTTCCTGGATCCTTCCAACACACGCTTCTGCCCTACAGCCCGTTACCGCTTCGCCATCCACCGCAATTGGCTTGCAGGGCGCACGCACACCCGTGTACTCAAGCCCGAGATACCACAACGCGGAGCTCGCTTTTGGCGCTTCAAGCTCGACTCGAAGCCTGGCTTCATCGTCGTATCCGGCTTGACGGGCGGCACGTTCGCTTTCAAGGGCGATGGAGCGCTCGCATGGTCGATTAGCCTCCCGCGCACACCCTACCCGCACGTGGAGCTCAGCGACGGCTACCTCCCGATTAACTGGTTCGAGGACAACTACCTCTTCCTCCGCCGCGACGACATCAAGCCTGCGAACCCCGTTCCGACGTCGATGGCAGTCACTCCACCAGATCTCGCCGCGATGGTCACACACGCACCGACTGAGCCTGGATACCAACTGGACGGCTTTGGGCGCTTCCCAGCCTGTCGCGCCACGAAGTTGCGCTATCCGACCTTCATCGGTTCCAGCCGGTCCGCCAACGTCGTCTACTACTACGACATTCCCAGTCGTACGCCATCTTTTCTGCGGCTACCGAGCTTCGTCTCGGATGACGATGCGGACGGTCTGGACGAGGAAGCGGTGCGCTACGTTGAGCTTGACGACGGTCTGCTATTCGTCGCCGGCGTGTGCTCAATCACGATCTGGCGGCTCCCCGAGGTCGTCCCACCGAAGGAAGTCATCACCCTCCCTCGCTCGGCCTGCATCGTCTGGCCGCCAGAACCTCCGCAGGACCAGGCCGCGTTGGCGAGTCTTTTCCCTCAGTGGCATTACCGCGGCGGACGCGTCGACTGGACGGCTGTTCACCACGACGGGCGAAGTCGGCATCTCGTCGCGACATCCGACGACAGCGGATACTCAGCACTCGGCCGGGTGCTCTGGACGACAGACTACCGCCGCGTCCTCTTCTCCGGTGACGAGGACCTGGTCGAACAGAAAACAGTTGTCCTCGTTGCGGTTCGTCTTTGCGAATATCTCTCGCATGTCTCCGGACTGAGCGTTTGTTTCCTCCAGGACGAAACTCCGGTCATCCAGCTCGCCGTGGAGAACGACCGCGCCGTCTTCATCACCAGTCACCACAGCTTGGGCACGGCGCTGTGGCTCCTCAACTTGCGCGACTTTGACGACCTCGCCGACTTCTCGCGGAATCCGCCAAAGCCGGTCAGTCCAGCTCCTTTTTGCTTGGCATTCTCAAGATTGGACCGCTGACGCACATCCGCGTGCTTGCAGATCTGCCTCGCCTGGCCTTTGCCGACAATCTCCGAGCCGAGTCGAGTCGAGATGACCTCGAACGAGATCTACGTCCCGATTCTCGCCCGCTTCCTCTCGCCCGACGCGTCTGCTCAATACAGGCAAATCTACGACGCGTATCAGCGGTGCCGCGACACACTCTCGCCTGGCAAGATGCCGATTGCGTGGCGCTGGCAGAAACTCGACGGTCAAACGCTCGTCGATTACAGCGCCGACGTGGCCGACGAGTCGGCTTTGCAGGAAGCGTGGGACGAGGTCATAAAGTTGGCGATGGAGCCGGGAGATCAAGCCGGTGGAGCGGACGCTTTCCTCGTATTCTCCTTCAGCGACGCAGCGGCGTAGCGGCGCTTGCAAGAACGTTACTCTCCGCTTCTCCCCGCGCGAACCCGTCCGAGACGAAGAGTATTACAACAAGGGCACTGACGGACAGCGTGTATACGGCAACGAGAGTCTATAGAGCCTGGAAGTTCAGGTGGAGAAGCCGCGCTCTTCGCTCCGCCTCGTCCTCGCGCTTCTCCCGCACATGCAGAGCGATCACCGTCGCCCCAAGAATCGCAATCGCCGCAAGAAGGACGATCGTGACCCACGGGATCCAGTCGCCCGGATGCAGGTACAGCATTTTCGTCCAGCTCGACGGGTCCTTGCTGTTCGCCGGCTGGTAGGGGTTTACGAGGACCTGCGAGTTCGGGATGAGGCCTTCGACGTTGATGTAATGCTGCGACTGGTGGCGAGTCGAGCCGATGAACAAGTTCTCGACGTAGTTGTTCGTCCGTCCGAGGCCGAAGTAGGAGTAGGGCGTCGCGAGCGACATGTAAGTCGACTGTGGTAGCTGGCCATCTGCGAGGGCGACGAGTCAGCGGGGTCATGGGCTCATGCTGAAGACGAGAACGCACATTGCGTACTCCGCCGTGCGCCGGTTGGGTCGAGGACGGTAAACTTGAAGGACGCGCCCGAGTAGCTGCTTCCGTAAGGCTGTCACGAGCGAGCGTCAGGCTTGCGAGCAATCAACGTTGGGACGCGAGCTTACCCTGTACCGCGCCTCGCCCGGCTCTTTTGGCTCGCACCATCCTGGGCAAGCGCCGTTCAAGACTGTTTCTCGGCGGCATTAGCTCGCTCTTCTCGTGTGTATGCGCAGGGCAACGCACCCTGCGCCTTGAGGAAGAAGGCGTCATGGAAATAGTTGTTCTTGATGAAGACGGGCTGACGAGCCGCGCCCGAGTTGCCGATTCGCTGGACGAGGATGTCGAGCGAGCCCTGCACGCCACGCACATCGACGAGTCAGCTTAGCGATACAGCAAGGATTACGCTAGCAGACAAGTCTGCGCGGCGACGCACATCATCGTCAACATCGACCCACGTCGCGCTCTCCACATCCTTGATCTTGCTCAACGCCTCCGCTCCCTCGCTTAGGACCCTAAACGCCCTCCTCCCTCGCTTGATCTCCTCCTCCGTACAGCTACCCTTCTCGCAAGGCCGGCTCTGCAGAATGACCGCTTGCTTATCCCGCCCGCCTTGGCTGCTCGCCAGGATGAGGAGGTCGGGGTAACCGTCGATGTTGAAGTCTCCGATCTGTGGCGGGGTTGGGAAGGAGCCGCGGAATGCGGTCGAGGAGGTGACGAGCGTGTGGGAGGGGAGGAGGGAAGAGATGGGTATTTGGGTGAAGGAGGGGTTCGAGCTGGAGGGCGAAAGGTCGAAGGAGAAGTCTGGGTCGGCGACGCAGAGACTCTCGAGGTCCCGGCACTTGGCATCAGCCGATATGTACGACTCGCAGAGCGGCATCTGGTCGTTGTAGGCGATCGAGAGGGTGCAGTCGTCGGCGGAAGGGCAGGACGTGGTGACCATGTCGATCGTGCCGTCTCGATCTGTGCGGCGCCGCGAGCTGTTAGCTGTGAGAGAAGACGGGTAGAAAGCGGGGCGCACCCATGTCCGCAAACCCGACGCTCTTCGTCGCCTCGGGCAACTTGCCCCCTCTTGCGTACCTGAACTGCCCATCCTTGCTATTCAGCCAGATCTGGTAGCTCAAGTCGTCTTCCGACTCGCCATCTTGGCAGGTCAGGAAGATGTCGGCGAGGCAGTCGCCGTCGAGGTCGATAAAGGCATTGAAGTGAGGTGAGGGGAACTTGCAGTCGAATTTTCCCGTCGGCGCGGTCGAAAGGTCGAAAGGTGCGTCCGTTCTGCGACCCAAAGCGTCAGTCAGACCTTGGAGACGAGCACTCGAGCGCTACTCACACGCTGAAGACATTCGTCGCGTTCGAAGCGGCCCAGGTGTTGTTCCAGAGTTGCAATTGAGGCTTCGAGCCCGCTGACATGCCGAGCAGGTCTGTCCGCATGTCGCCAGTCGCGTCGATCGGCATCGCTTGCGCGAGTGCGGACGAGTCGACAGGGTAGGATTCGGCTGCACGCGCCTCGCACAGCTCAACGGCCTGAACGGAAGCGAGATGAAGGCAGGACTCACACCAGCTGCCGTCGCCCCGTTGCAGGTACACCTGCATCTCTGTCGTTTCGTCTGCTCCCCACCATCCGCCCGGGTTCTTCCCGCCCATGAGCAAGACGTCGACCTTTCCATCGTAGTCGAAGTCTCCCGGGACGACGTTCGTGATGATAAAGTCGCTCTTTGTCCGTATCCGCGCCTCGACCGCCTCCTTCCACTCGTACGCCTTGCGGTCCCACGTGTGAACCGAGACGGTGCGCTGGTCTGCCGAGACGAGGAAGAGGTCGAGGAGCTGGTCGGCGTTCCAGTCTGCCCACGCCGCGACGAGTCCGGTCTTTGGCAGGCCGAGCGATCCTGCGTCGATGAGCTTCTCGTCCGTGTACCGCTTCTTGACGCCAGGGAACCACGCTCGGGACGGGGTGGGGAGCGTGAGGACGCAGACGAGGGCGGCGAGAGAGGCTGCGTACAGCATGGCCCGGGCGAGGCGAGTCGGCAGTCGCGGTCTGATGACAGCCAGCCTTCGTTTAAGCGGTCCAATCCAGCCCAGCGAGCAGTGTCAGCACAAATCGAGATGGTCGAGGAGCGAGAGAAGCGATGAGGAGGGTTGGAGAGCTGCCACTCGCCTCGCTGCGCTGAACAGACTGCTGAGCGACTGCCGGAGCTCACGAACTGCACATGATGCAGTCCCGCCTCGCACACTCGTCGCAGCGCCTCGCCCGCCTCGCCTCTCCATCTCCCCGAGTCGCGCAACCATCGAACAGGCGCACGCTCTTCGGATGGGGCAAGAAGGACAAGTTCCAGGACGTGCCGAAACCCGTCTTGACGCAGGACAACCTCTTCCACCCGCTCTCGCAGTCGCCGTTCCCAGAGATGCGCGCAAAGGGCGAGCGCATCAAGCAGCTCGCTTACTGCCCCGTCTCGCTCGACAAGTACGGCGAAAAGGTCCACGTTGCGTACGAGTGCCCCAACTGTGGATTCCCGACCCACGCGAGCGAGGAGCGGTGGCAGGAGGACGAGAACCACGGGCGGTACTGGCCGCGATTGAGGGAGGCCAACGAGGACGAGCACGACTTGCGGAGCGGGCGAGAGATGACAGAGTTCCGGCTGCCAGGTGCGTGCGGTCTCGACCTGGAAAGGCGGGCGGATGCTGACCTCGCGTCCACAGGCGAGCAAGAGTATGAGCAGGCCGTCTCGATGGGCAACTGGGATGTCTTCCTGTACACCCGAGGGTTCCCTTCCATCGACACCGAACGCGCACGACGACACGTCTCGAAACTCCTGACCTACCCCATCACAATCGGCTCCGTCCTTCACGAGAACTCGCCGTACACGATCCGGAATCAGCGGCTCTTGCCCGAAGGATTGCGGTCTCTTCTCGGTGCGTCGCGCGGTCTCCAGAGTCCTTATCGTCGAGTGAGGCGATACTGACTTTGGCGTGAATCCTCGCTGCCTCAGCCCTCCGCCGCACCCTCCACCCCGTCGCCAAGAGCGACGCAGCAGCAGCTGGTCTCCCTCCCTCTCCTCTCCGCATCTTCATCCTCGGAGCCCGTGCCGAATCCTCCCTTCCCGCACGCGTCCTCGCGCAAATCTCGCACCTCTTCCCCGCCGTCCCGCTCCACATCGTCTTCATCGGCCCCGAATCCTACATCCCTCCCTCTTCCTCCAAATCGAGCGAGGACGACGCACAAAAGGGCGTCTATGGCGTTCCCTCGCACACGCGGATCGAGCACGACGGCAAGTTGACCATCACAAGTCTGCGATGCGGCTACTCGGACGTGCACGACGTCCTCGGCCCTTTCGACCCGTACCAGGACGTCTTCTTCGCCTTCTCGCCCGGCTTCGGTTTCCCAGACGAACACGACCCGCTCAAGACGCAGCTCGAGACAAACTGGCACTCGGCCGTCCTCTCGATTCTCGAGACCAAGTGCGCGCTGTTCTGCACGGGGTTCAGCCCCGCAGATATCGAGCGCGATGTCGTCGCGTTGGACAAGGTCGAGGGTATCAGGGGCGAGTTTGACTGGCTGTTGACGCCCGGCGAGAACGTGTTTGGGAGCGAAAAGTGGGAGATTGCAGAGTTCGACCCGAGGGTAGCCGTCAAGACCAACTGGGGCGTATGGGGCATCCGGTGCGTTCCTTCCTTCCTTCCGCCATGCGCGCATCCAGCACTCACGCTTTCTCCTTACTCACAGCGGTAAGCGCTACGAGGTTCGCGGCGAGACTATCGAGACGCCTTGACGGGGAACAACGTGCACTATTCAACGAGAGTGTCTATCGATCTGCAAATGCATGAGTCGTTACAAACAAGCATGTCACTGCGGTGACGGCGAGAACTGCGATGCGAGTGCTAGCCCAGCAGGCGGAGGATTCCAAAGCCCTGTCGACGAGCAAGGCGTCAGCATGCGATCTGAGCGGAGAAGAGGGACGTGCCGCACGAGGTTGACGACGATACCCAAGATAACGGCGATCTGCATTCGTCGCGTAAAGATCTGGGTTCGGAAGAAGAAGAGCGGCAAGAAGGGGACGAAGAAGCCGATGCAGACGCCCTTGAGAAGCGAGTAATAGTGCCCTGTGCCGGCTGCCATGGAGATGTGAGTCGAGAGTTTCAGAAAGAGCAGGGACACGGCGCACCTGAGTCGCCAGCGACAGCTTCTTCCTGGCCGGTCATCCCGCTCATCCATTGCTCCTCGAGCGCGCGCTGGTGCTCCTCGTCGTCTGCACACGAGGGAGGGTGAGCAGTCTGACAAAGAAGCGAAGGCGTGGAAGACGCACCCGCTTCAGTCTGGCGGGAGTCGCGGAACTCGGCGCGGAGGTTCTCGATGTCCTGCTCGGAGAAGCCAGCGTCGCGTAGTCGGTCGAAGCCTTGCAGTGGGGTGATTTGCGCAGTCTGTGACAACGAGTGTCAGCCCTCGCGGCCGACAGATGACAAGGCGCAACGCACCTGGTCCTTCTCCTCCGTTGGTTCCTCGTCCTCGATCGGCTCGCCCACCGAACAATGCAACCAGATCTGCTCTTCCTCCACCTCGTCCTCTCCTGTACCTCGCTCGTCCTCGCGCCCCTTCCCCTTCTCCAACAGACTCATCTCATCCTCTCCCGCTCGCTCGCCCATCGTGCCTCTCACAACCTTCCCGATCCCCCTTCCAACAGCCTGCAATCCCTCCTTGACGCCGACGTCGGCCGCAGAATTCGGCGAGACAGCTTTTGCCCGCCGGGAAACGAGTTGTAGCGTGTAGGGGAGGAGGAAGACGCCGTCTGGGAGCAGGCGGCCCAGCTGGATCAGACGCAGGCGGCGGGGTTTGCCGTTTTCCGTCAGAGTATCGGGTCGCAGGAGCCGAATCTGTGCATGTGACGCTGAATCAGCGGGTCTCGTAGGCAATAAACCAAAGAGAACCTGACGCACCCGTCGTTTCACCTCGCGAACCGTCTCCTTCTCGCCAACCCAAAGGTCCACCAAGTCCTCCGTCTGCCCGTCCGTGAACCGCACGCAGAACACCAGCTTCTTTCGCGGCTCTGCATCGTCTACTGCTTGGTCGGAGGACCCGTCAGGAGAGGGCGAGTCGTTCGCCCGGCCCTTGCCCTTCCATTTCGCCGCGCCGAGCTTCGACTTCCGAGCGCCAGCTGGCGGGTATGCGAACGGGTCTACCAAGCCGTTCGGAGACGCAGCATCGGGCGTTGTGACGGGGAAAGGGAGTCCTGCCGAGGAGGAGGACGAGAAGGGTGCGACAGGTGGGCGTGCGGGCTGGTCGACGACTGGCGGATGCTGGTCCAGTCGATCGTAGCCTGCTGCCATCGCCGAGCACGCTCACGCCCAGCAACGAGCCCGTAGTCGACCACTCCAACCCTTCCCCCACCTCGTCGCTCGCTCTCGAGGCTTGTTCTCGCACAGAACACTCGCTATGACTGGGATTGCTGCTGTTGGACACGGAAGTGCTGCTGGGAGTCGCGCGACACCGCCAACCTGCTCGACAACCCGCCCCATCCCGCGCGACACGCTCTCCAGCCATCTCCTCGTCACACAGCCAGCCTTCTCTCCCAACAGAGATCTAGCGCGAAGACCGCACCTGCGCTAGTGGACTGGCACTGGAGACTCGTCAAGAACAGGCGCAAAGGCAGGACGGCGCGCGCTTCCTCGGTCTCCGTCTGATCTGTGCTCTCCCTCCCGCCTGCTCGCGACAAGGCTTGTCTTCCTGCTCTTCACCTGCGCTAGCTCTTCCACTGCAGAGCTAGACTCTCGCTCCTCACTCAGCAACACACGACCTCCTCCGACACGCTCTCGCCCACCATGCGCCTCTCCGCCCTCTCCTCCGTCCTCTTCCTCCTCCCCTCGCTCGCCTCGGCAACCTACTTCACCAACCCGACAACCTCGACAGTGTGGGCCGATGCGGCGGGGCAGCCCATCACATGGCACTACCAGCCTGGTGGAGCACCGAGGGGCGACATCGTCTTGTCGGCGGTGGGAGGGTCGGGGACGAACCCCAAGTGCGTGCGAGCGCACTCGAACGCATGAGGAGTGGTGCGGCTAATACAGAGTTTCGCTTGCAGGAACTCGAATTCGCTTACGATCGCTCAGAACGTTGACCTGACGAGCGAGAGCTTGACGTTCCCGAGCGGTACAGCACTGCGGAGCAACTCGAGGCAATACGTGCGTGTGTTTCGCTGCTTTTAGACGTTCTGCAAAAGCTGACCAATTGTAAGCCGCAGATCCTCGCAATCGTCAACTCTGCTAACCCGACAGACGTCTACACCCAAGTCGGGCCATTCGAGATCGACGGCTTCGGCGCCGCCTCATCTCCCTCGTCGCCCTCCTCTAGCAACGGTTCAGGCGGAGCAGTCGGGAACGGAAGCGGCCAGGACGCGACAGCGACAAATCCGCCCGTCTCGTCTGCGAGCCCGACTCCGAGCGCTACTCGTACGGCTTCTCCCTCTCTCTCTTCCTCCTCCCGCTCTGCGTCTCGAGCGCCCACTACCGCGACTCGACCAGCCTCTGCGACGACAGCGAGCTCACGCGTTCCTTCATCCTCGTCCTCTGCCTCCCCCGCTCCTCCCCCCTCCTCCTCTCCCTCACTCGCTTCTTCCTCGTTCTCCTCGTCTCCAGCTTCATCCACCACCACCTCCAGCTCCTCTTCAGCGTCGTCCTCAACAAGCACCCACGACCCCATCACTGCGACTGTCATCGAAACCGCCTCCTCGGGCATCCTAGTCACGTCCACCCTCCTCCCCTCGACCTCCGCCAATTCGAACATCTCGATCGTCACCGTCACGGCAAGTGGGAGTGTGGGAGCTGCGAGTCAGAGCGCGAGGCCGAGTAGTGCGGCAGGGAGGGTGGGCACGCGAGGGGGGTTGGCGGTCGTTGCGGCTGTGGCGGGTGTTTGGGTGCTGGCCTGACGCGTTGAGGGAGGATTGTACTAGACAGCTCTCGAGTAATGATATCGCGTCCATCACGAGTTGGCTGGCAGCGCGTGAATGAGGATGCGAGCGAGATGCTAAGTTTCGACGACAGCTTTCTGCTCTAGCGGACGCTTCTGCCTGCCTTGCTGTGCAGTAGGGGAAGCATGAAGCACTGCACTCTGTAGCTAGAGCAGAGGGAGAGAGGGATGAAGGCTCGAGGTTTGCGCAACTCCCTCGTCTCGCCAAGTCGCATACCGTGCTCAGGTACGCAAGCAGTATATGGACGCAAATCTGAGCCGGCTCGTCCAATACAAGTCTTCGTAGCTCAGTTGGTTAGAGCGTCTGACTGTTACTCTCTGGGATAACAAAAAGTCAGCCTATCTCTTCCTTAGTGGGGAGGTTGTGCTCCACGACATGTGGCACATCAGGAGGTCGACAGTTCGAACCTGTCCGAGGACGCCAGTAGCTTTTTGCTGGGTAGGCTTCCAGTGAAGCGGGTGAGAGAGTCGGTAGAGAAGGGGGAGGAGGAGCAGGATGGCATTTTGGCGCTCGCCCGGGGCAGGGGATGCGCAGGCCTTGTCGACAGACTCTCCCCGAGCAAAAGCAAGTCTGTGGCAGCCAGCAAGGGCACGGGGAGGGAAAAAGAAAATGGACTCCCTCGAACCGGGATCGAACCGGGGACCTTGGGATACACAACCGAGTAGAGAACCAATTACAGTCCCACGCTCTTCCAACTGAGCTATCGAGGGCGTAAAACGCCCGAGGTGTCCTGCCAGCCGCGGCCGCGCGTGCAGTCATATCACGTTGAGCCGTTTGGCGGGCAAACGGCGGAGGAGAGCGAGGCAAGGGGACGAAAGGGGAGACTACGAGTTCGCGCCTGAGGTGCTCTGTAGAGCTTGCAAGCCTACTCTGACTGCTTTTTGCACTGTCTAGCTACTCAGCCATCAAAAGAGTGCCCAAGGGGCCAAGTTGGAGGAAGAGTGAAAGGTGTGAGGGTGAAATGTCCGCGCAGAGTCCGCTGGCGAGCTGCTAAGCTGGCAGCCTTCGTGGCTTGTATCGCCAGTACAGGTGTGGCGCAGTGACTCCGCCCAAAGGTAGACTGCAAGTCAGAAGAGTTGGCAAACAGGCAGAGGTTGACAGGTTGCCTCACCCTGCCTGTGCGGACTGTCAGCTTGAGGCAGTCTCAGGACAATCAGAACGTCCTTCTGTCAGACCTGTGCTCAAGGCTTCACAGGCTGCGCATACCGCCTTGAGCAAGGAGACCCATCCCTTTGGTTGACCTTCCTAAGCGTGCAAACAGCCCCTCTCCTCCCCGCTAGGCGGCTTTCACTGTGACTTCAGCCTGCTCTGTGATGTTGAGAGCTTGGTAGTTGCACATACACTGCAGCGCTGCTGACTGCAGGCAATCTGGCCAGTCCTTCCACCTCCTCAGTTTTGATCCGCTGCCGATGCTTTGCTTGTGGATGCCTTCCGCCCCAGTTGCGCAAGTACGCATTGTCAGGAACCCTCAAAACTTTGGGGGAGCCAGCACAAGTACACCGCAGCATAGGCTTTTCCCTTTGCCCCGAGCCTCGGAGGCAAACAAGGCTTAAGCAATGTGCTGGTCTGCCAGGGCTCTGAGCACAGCAAGTACATCTGTATGCACACGAGGAGAAGCACCGGAAGACTTTCTGGCAGAGCCAGCAAGGTCCGCCGCCTCCTTCTCCCATCACCTCCTCATCGGCTCACCCGCCAAACTCGCTAACGTGATATAGTTGCACACCCGGCCGACGGCAGGCAGGACACCTCGGGCGTTTTACGCCCTCGATAGCTCAGTTGGAAGAGCGTGGGACTGTAATTGGTTCTCTATTCGGTTGTGTATCCCAAGGTCACCGGTTCGATCCCGGTTCGAGGGAGTCCATTTTCTTTTTCCCTCCCCGTGCCCTTGCTGGCTGCCACAGACTTGCTTTTGCTCGGGGAGAGTCTGTCGACAAGGCCTGCGCATCCCCTGCCCCGGGCGAGCGCCAAAATGCCATTCTGCTCCTCTCCCTTCTCCCAGCAGGTCTCTCTCGCCCGCTTTACTACGCCTACCCAGCAAAAAGCCATTGGCGTCCTCGGACAGGTTCGAACTGTCGACCTCCTGATGTGCCATGTCTTTCCAAACAGTGCACTGAATCCGCAAGCGAGATCCATTAGGCTGACTTTGCAACAAGTCCTTTTGTGCCGCCGTACGAGGGCGGGCTGAGAAGAGTAACAGTCAGACGCTCTAACCAACTGAGCTACGAAGACGGTGCAATAACGCTTCGTCAGTAGGCCTGGCGGTCCAAGACACGCGGACGTTGCCAGAGGGAGGAGAGCGGGAAGAGCAAGGCTGTGGCCGAGGCGGGATGGTCAGACGAGGCAAGGCTAGCTCTGAGAAATGCCGGAAGCTTCCTGGAGGCAGCATCAGCAGGATGGCACCGACGAGGAAGCGAAGCGAGAACTGGCCTTCCCAATTCCGCCTCTCCTCCCGCCTTCGAAAGCGACGGTCGCGCGCGAACCGTATATGTCGATACAGGCGTCATTAGGTGTCGTGTAGTTCAGTGTGGGAGGCAAAGAAAGCGGTGGAAGAGGTACAGGGAAGTCAGATCCACCCGAGCCAGTCCCCTCCTCTTCCTCACACCATCCTCTCCGCCCTTCCCATCCCGCTCCCAACCGCACCCTTGACCGCATCTCCCGGCGCACCCTGCACACCCGCTCCTCCCATCCCACCCGCCTCCCTCCATTGACCCGCAAAGACCGGCACGCCGCCGTCCCGCGCTTGGCCGTTGACCGCTTCGAGGGTGTAGGGGAAGCGAGGGGTGGAGTGGGCGTTGTGGTGGGCGGGGGAGGAGGGAGGGGTGCGAGGGAGGGGAAGGTGGTTGAAGCGGAAGTCGAGGATGGAGGCGTAGCTGCGGGTTGCACAACATGTCAGTCTCATGCGAGCGCGTCGCGGACGAGCCTTGGTCGTCCTGACAAGACGAATCAAAGCAAGAAGGTGTGGCGAGAGAGCTGCCGAGACTCACGACATGCGGTACGCAGCGAGCGCGCAACTGCTGCCGATCAAGCCTCCAACGAGGACGTCGTACCAGTGGTGGAACTGCACATTGCTCTCACCAGCGTCAGATCACGTTGCTGAGAGCCCCGGTAAGCGGGGGAACGCACCTCATCGATCGTGAGCGAGCCGGAGATGAGGAAGGCGCCGAGCTGCAGAGGCGACGAGTCAGCTGAGCACGATGCGTCAAGGGCCTGAATGCAGGCGCACGAGAGGCGCAAAGAAGGCGATCATCTTCCAGAACTGTAGTAACGGAGGGAGGTTAGCGAGCAAGTCGAGACGAGAAAAAGCGGAGAGGGCGAACATGAGGGCGGTAGTCGGAGAAGACCTTGAGCTTGCCGTTGAGGTACTGCGAAATGACAAGGGTCAGCGGATGCTTTGAGGGCGGAGAGGCGGAGATAATTGCGAGATTCACGAGCGAAAGGAAGAGCAAGCCTGCCCAGGCCGCCGTCGAGTGTCCGGACGGCATCGACTCGAGCGACTAGGCAATGGAGAGATGGGTCAGCCCACCAGTTCGACCACAAGAGCGCGGAGTAGATCTGCTCAAGCAGCGCTGCCCTCCCGCCTGTCACGCAAAGGAAGGCGACTCACATCATTGATCTCCTTCGCGTCTCCTGTACACACGCTCCGATCGAACATGATGTTCTGGAAGCCTGCACCGACCATGCCCGCGGGGATGACGGGCTTGCAGACGGCGAGGAAGTGCGGGCGGAGACCGCCTGTGCGAGCGGGAGAAACGCAGGTCAGTCACGAGCGTTCGCCGAGGGAAGGAAGGCCGGGTGCGAGGGAGGAGAGGAGGAGGTCGGGAGCGTACCGATGAGCCACTTGATGAAGACTGCAAACGGAAGAAGAGGGAGTTTGGGAAGGTCAGGTCCGCTCGTCTCGTCAGGCCGTCGTTGGCGCTTTCAACTGGAGAGAGAAGTCTACCAGGAATCGGACGCACCTTGAAAGCAAGCCGCCGTAATCAGCGAATACAACACTCCAAACGTCGCCGTGTTCAAGTCCTCGAAGCATCGGACCCTGATCTGGACGAGGAGGAAGCTGACGAAGGGCACGAAGAAGGCGATCATAGCAGCGGCCCAGATGGGGATGATGCTGCGAGGCCAAGACGTCAGTGGAGAAGGGGATGAAGGAGGGAAGGACGAACTTTTTGCGGAGCGGGTAGGCGACTTCCGGATAGACGATCTCGCCGTCCTGCGCGGAGCAATCCACATGAGCTCGTAGCCCTCACAGGCAGAGGTAGAAGCAGGGACGCACCGAGGGCGTGATGGGGAAGTTGCGAGTTGGCGCAGGGTCAGCGAAGTAAACGCCCAATCCGACAGCTCCAATCGCCGCCATTGTCACTGCAAGCGTCTCCGACACACATCAGCTCCGTCCTTCGAGAGAGTCCAGGGGACAGCTGAAGGACGCAAGTCGTCGAACTCACGCAAGTCCACCCAGTACATCTTGAACCACTCTCCCACGCTCGGACGCTGATAAATCCACGCCCTGCCCGCTCCATTCTGGTCTCCGACATCCACTCCCGAAGCTCCAGCAGCTCCGGTAGCGTTGTTGATGGGATGCGTAGATCCAGCGGGGGAGTCGGGACCGGTGTGCGACTGAAGGGGCTTCTCGTGAGTCGTTGTGGTGGGCTGCGCAGCGTCAGAGTGGTTGAAAAGAGGCATAGCGGGCGTCGGCTTCTCCTGCGAAGCGCTGCGGACGGTGCGAGAGACGAGGGCAGGAAGAGAGAAAGAGCAGCGGCTCCCTTTGGAGCTCTCACAAAGGCTTGGCAACGTGGACGTTACGTGCGTAAAATAGTCTTTCACGCTGACTGTGAGTGACGCGGGTTTGCGCAGCGGGAGAAGGATGTGGGATGAAAGGAAGGCGGTCACTCGAAATTCGCAAGTGGACCTCCTCTCTCTCTTTGTCTGGCTCAAAGTCCGGGATGTCCGGGCATCTCGAGGCTGATGCGAACGAGTGTTGCCTTGCAAGAGAACGATGCAGGTTATACGAGCCGGGATGCGGTTCACGAGGGGTTAGAACGACGCTTTGAGGACAAGCCGCCTCAATCCTCGTCGTCGTCAAACTCGTCTTCCTCCTCTTCATCCTCGTCCTCTTCCTCCTCCCACTCCCCCTCCTCTTCCTCCCCCTCCACTCCAGCCCTAAACCTAACCCACCCTCCCCTCCCTCCTCCCAATCCCAAAACGCGTCCCAACCTCCCTACCCAAGGAAGCGGCATCTGTCCCGTCCCGACCGCCCATCCAACGACACCCACCGCACAGACAGCGAAGAACGTATAGCGTTTTCGGCGGAATGCGAGGTCGGATTTGGAGAGTGGAGGGGTGGAGGAAAGGGGTTTGCCGGAGCGGGTGAGGCGGGGCGAGAAGGGCAAGGGGAGGGGGAAGAGCGCTTTTAGTGCGCCTGAGAGGGAGGAAGTGAGTGAGGAAGAGGTGGGTGAACGAGTTGGGGGAAGGGGAAGCGAGTCGGAGGACCAGAGTGTGCGGCGGAGGAGGGCGGTGTGCGTCCAGAGGCGGGGGAAGGAGGCGTTGATTAGGTCTGCGAGGATGGGCGTTGGGAGGGGGAGGTAGAGCACGAGAGAGAGGAGCGAGGAGAGGTGGGCGTCGAGAGGCGAAGGGCTGCGGAAGAACGAGGGTTAGACGGGGTAGATTTGGAAGGGAAGACTGTGAACTCACGAGGGCGACGAGAAGAAGAACGGCGTCGAGGACGCAGCCAGCGTCGACTCGAGCGCCGTGAATACCTGTCGTGCGGCCGAGACGATCTGCGAGCGCGTGCGATTTCCGTTATTCCCGCACAGCCGAAACGCAGACACATCCGCACGACGCACCTTCCCCTCGCCAAACGTCTTCTTCATCCTCTCCTTCCCCTCCCTCCTCTCCTCCTCCTTGCGTTCCCTAATCCCCTCCAAGCCCGTCTCAAGCAACGCCTTCTTCCTCCTCCTCTCGTCCTCGGCCTCTTTCTCTGCCTCCCCGCCGAGTCCCCACCAGTCTGGGTGGAGGGCGTCGACTTGGGTGCGAGCTGAGGCGCGGAGGGCGTTCGGGCGGTAGAAGGCGGTAGGCCAGGGGAGGGAAGGGACGAGGAGGGAGCGGATGAAGAGCCAGTTTTGCGGCAGCTGCGGGGCGCAAATGGCCGCGGGGTCAGTCCGGCTGGCTTTGACGCATAGGAGAACTGAACGCACCGAGTAGAGCGAGTGCAGGACGAGCGGGAGGACGGTCGTGTCGAGCAACGTCTGGAACGCCTTTGCGTCGCCGTTCGTGGCCCCACTGCCCTGCTCATTCTGCTGTAGCAAGTGCGCGAGGATGGCTGATCCTGCAAAGGTGTCTGGTCCGCGCTTGAGGAAGTGCAGTGAGCCTGTGGACGAGTCCGAGGGGGGTCAGTCGTTCTCCGAGGTCCGGAGGGAGAGTGAGCGGCTGACCCGAGGGCGAGAGACCAGGGTCTGAGCAGTGCACGAGAGTCCATTCTCCTGGACACAACAGCTGGAGATACGATGCTGCGACTGTTGCGGAGCGAGAGGGTGAGTCCTGCGAGATGAGGACGAGGACGAGGAGGAGGAGAGGGAGCGCACCGAGCGAGTGAGGGTCGAGCGATGCGAGGTCGTGTGTGTGTGAGCCTGGCAAGCAGTGCAGCTCGTACGCTCCAGCCATTCTACGACAGCAGCACACCCACTCGTCCACTGCCAACCCTCGTCGCCGTCACTTCTCTCGAGGAGCCATTAACCTCGAACACAGCTTGCTCGTGTATTGACTGGCTAGAAAGGGCTCACTGGGACTCGCACGGCACACGGCAATGTCGTCCTACGCGGCAGACTTCACCGCTCACCTCGCCGGCGCACTCTCGCACATCGCACCCTCCTTCGTCCATCCCTCGCCCTCGTCCTCTTCGACCAACCTCGCAGCGCAGGCCACACAGTCTCACGAAGATGCAGTCGACGCGAGGGAACAGGAGATGCGGGCCATCCTCGCCAAACTGCGGCCCTCCTCTTCCTCCTCGTCGCAAAGTGGGGCTGCATCCACTGCATCCGCCTCGTCCTCCCTCTCTGGGCGCAAGTCTCACTCGCCAGCGCACTTGAAACCATCCCATCTCGCCCACCTCGTCGACGCGGCTTTCCCGCCCTTCCAAGGCCAGGCGTCCACCCCTCTCTCGCCGCAAATCGAGACGGTCGAGCTCGTCACGCTCGCACAGTTGACGATCGCGACGTATGGAGTGGTGCTGAGGGTGCTGATGGACGAGGCGAACGAGCTCGAGCGGCATGACGAGTATTGGGCGGCGGTCGAGAGCGAGGCGTGGAATACGGCGCTCTACCTCGTGCAGTGTGCGACTCTCTCTTTCTTTCTCAGCTCAGAGGACGAGCTGACGAAGCTTCAACGTCCCGCAGCCACCCCCGTCCGCGCCTTCTCGCTCGCCAACGTCACCCTCACCCGCCTCCGCCAACTCATGTCCGGCACGCTCCGCACAACCGAATCCTCCCCTCCCTCCCTCCTCCACCTGACAACCTGGCGCCGTGCGCTCCCGCCCTCGCTCTTCCTCACCTCTGTATTCCCGCACCTCACGGGCGGATCAAGCGGCCTCCCTTCGCTCGAGGACCTCTCGCGCGCAGAACTCGATCCCGAACCTACTTCTCCCTCTCCCTCCTTCACCACCCCTCAATCCTCATCCAACGCACTGTCTTTCTCTCGCGCCACGAAGTTAGGCCGGAAGACAGCCCGCTCACTCCTCTTCCTCACGCTCTCCCCCCTCTCCTTGACGCGTGACGAAGTCGCGACCTACCGCACCAAGATCCGCGACGAGAGGGACGAATTGGCGAGACGGATTGGAGAGTTGACGCTCCGCGCGCAGGAGAGTGAGGTGGGCGAGCTGCTCGAGGAGGGCAGGGGAAAGAGGGGCGTCAAGAGGGAGTTGAGGAAGAAGCCGGGGCTTGCGCAGCTCTTCTCTGTTTCGAGGCAAGGAGCGAAGGAGGGACAAGTCGAGTTGGGCTTGGAGGATGTGAGGCAGGCGACGTGGCAGACGTTGATCCACCTCGACTCAGTCCTTACGCCCTCCTCTGCCGCACCACGGATGTCCTCGACGCCGAGTCCGCCGGCAACACCAGCCGACCTCGCCCACTCGCTCTCGTACCTCCTGAACCAGACTCTGCCCGCCCACTCGCGCGCTTTCGGCCAGACGTCCCTCCTCCTCTCTCCGCCAGGCTTCTGGACCCGCTCCTGGCCTTACCTCCTCTCCATCCCTCTCCTCTCATCCCTCGTCGCGAGGGCAGTCTACAACCACCGTCTCACGCTGCACCAATACGCCCTCGACGCAGCCTCGACCATCAAAGGCTTCCTCTTCGACTGGGTCCTCGAGCCAGTCCGGAAGATCCTCGATACCCTTCGCGGCGGATCAGCAGACGAAGTTGCCCTTATGGGCCGCGAGAGTCTGAGGAGCGATTTGGAGAGCTTGGAGAGGATGGTCGTGGATTTCGCGAGGGATGAGTGGGGGTTGAGTGGGAGGGAGACGGACGAGTTGGCGAGGAAAGTTAGGGTGGGCGATTTGACCGAGGTATTGAAGGTGTGGGAGGAGGACATCAAGGTGCGCGATTCGAATCGCTCTCGCTCGTCTGCTTCTTGGGACTGACGAGCTAACGCGCACCTCCCTTCGCACACAGTCACCCATCAAATCCACCCTCCGTGGCTCTCTAATCCGCACCCTCCTGATCCAAGTCCAAAAAGTCAAAGTCGACGTCGCGCTGGCCACCTCGGGCATCGAAAAGATGCTCAAGTCCCAACAGTTGACGTTTGCGTTTGTCGGTGTCGCTCCGAGTATGCTTGTGCTTGCGCTGGTGGGCAGGTGGCTTAGGGGGTTGGTTAGGCGCGATAGGGGCAGTGGGAAGAAGAGGAGGGAGGAGAAGAAGAGGTGTTGGTTGGTGGTCAGGTGCGTCAGAGCTCTCCCATTTCCTGCTCGCGGATGTCTTACGGGACTGCATGTGAGCTTTTCGATTGGGAGAGTGTTTCTAACGGTCGCTTCCAACAGGCAACTCGACATCCTCCTCTCCTCTCGCTCTTCCTCCTCCTCCGCCTCCGACTCCACCTCCGCCGCCCAAACCCAAGGCCACCTCCTCCTCTCCCTCTCGCGTCTCCGCTCGCACACCTCCACCCCCTCCTTCCCCTCGCACGACACCCAGCTACTCGCTTCTTTCCTCGCGGATATCCGTGCGCTGGAGGAGAGGGGCGCGAGAGCGGTAGAGGGCGAGAGGAGGGAGTTGGTTGGACGGGTGAGGGAGTGGGCGAGGGCGTTGAGGTGGGATGAGGGGATTCGCGTGTAGAGTTTGGCTCGCCCAGGATAGAATTGCGATGTGAGACGGTACGCCGAGTGACTGGGAGTGTGACACGGGAATTGGATTCCGTAGGAACAGCGAGCAGACGACATACGGCGCGGGATTAGATAGGACCGGGGACGAGAGGCACGAGAGCACCGCCGAGGGGAGAAGGAAAAGGCAAAGGGGCGACTTCTAGCGAGGTACAAGGGGACGATGCGACGACACAACTGCAAAGTGGGAATAGGCGAGGCTGTAACGGAACTGGGTAGAGGGAAGCGCGCTCAGCACGAGCAGCCGCCTTCGTTGCCGGTCGTGTTTGTCGGGGTGACCGAGACGTCGATCACTGCGCGCAACGAGCCCATCAGCAGTCATTCTCACCGCAGAAGAAGGAAGCCGAACGCACTTTGGTTCGCCCCGCCCTGACCCTCACCCTCCCTCTCCATCCCGGGCAGCGCCTGCGCAATCTTGCGGAACAGCGTCTTGACATTGTGACCCGCCTTTGCCGACGTCTCGATGAACATGACGTTGAGCTCCTTGGCCTTCTGCTCAGCCTCGTCCGTCGTCACTTGCCTGTTGCGTTCAGCCGGGTCAGCGGGAGAAGGGAGAGCGGGGAGGAAGGGACGGACCGCTTGTCGTTCAAGTCGGTCTTGTTACCGACCAGGACAATGATGACGTCGTTGCCTCGCTCGGAGCGGACGTCGTCAACCCACTTGCTCGTGTTCATGAACGACGTGCGGTCTGCGGGCGAGAGGATGAGCTAGTCAGCGACCACGGTCCCAGTCAACTAAGGCTCAACCTGCACAGACTGCACAGGCGGACGCCACAGACGGAAGCGAGATCGCCAACGCACTCGTGATGTCGTAGACGACGACCGCCACGCTCGAATCGCGAATGTAGCTGGGAATCAAGCTCCGGAAGCGCTCCTGTCCCGCCGTGTCCCACAGCTGAAGTCGAACGGTACGGTCTTCGAGGTACATGGTCTTGGAGAGGAAGTCGATGCCTGGAGAGCGAGAGGGACGAGGTCAGCACCTGCAAGTGGGGGAGTAATGAGGAAGAGCGAGACGAACCGATAGTCGCTTGGTAGGTGTTGTCAAAAGTGTCGTACCTGCACATTGCGAGCGTCAGTACGGCACCAGGGAGAGCAGAGCCGGCTGGACGCACATGAAGCGGGTGATGAGCGAGGTTTTGCCGACACTCTGTTCGCCGAGGAAGACGAGCTTGAACCTGCGTCAAAGAACGTCAGCATCATGTACCACCGTGATCAGAGAGCTGCACGCACTTCTTGAGCGCCGCATGGGCAAACTCGCTCGTCGCGGGAGCAGCACTCGTCGTCGCCGGAGCAGCGGGGGTCGTAGCGACAGCAGCAGCGGGTGCGGGCGTCTCTGTCGTCGCGGCAGGTGCACTGTCCTCCTCCTTGTTCTCCTGCTGCGCCCCCCCAGCGTCCTGCGCCTCCTCAGCCACCGTCTCCGGAGCTCCAGCGTCTCCCTCGTGAGCGGGCGCGGCGGCGTCGACGGGGGTCGATTCGGCGACCGGCTCGTTGTCGGATGCGTCGACTGCGGTCTCTGGCTCGTTGCTCATCCTGTCAGCTGGCCGTCGAGCGGTGAGCGGTGTGGTCGAGAAGCGGGATGGCGGGGAGGCAACGGGTTCATCAGGTCGACATCGCTCACAACGCTCTGTTGGGCTGGGTGGGACTCAGACCGCTAGGATTACAGCTATGCAGGGCTCGGACGAACTCTCGCTCGGGCAGCTCCTCTCGCGCTCTCTCCGCAACGCAGACAAGTGCGCCAACGCTCCCGCGCCCAACGACCACGCAGTGCAGGTGCGTACAGCTCAAGAGCTTGTAAGAGACTGTCTCTATCGATCGAGCTGACCGCCAAACTCGCTCGTTGCGCAGACCCTCATCACCCAGACCCTCTCGGACCTGACACTCTGCGCATCCCTCATCTCTCACCTCGGGATCCTCTCGCCCAACGAAACAGTCGACGACATCTCGACCCGCAATCTGCGCTGTGTCCTCGTTCCCGCCTTGCAAGGCCAACTCGCTCTCCTCGTGCGGACGAAAGGCGGCGTCGAGCGGCTCGAATGGCTGAACAGGGCGAAAGGGTACTTGAGGGCGTTTGTGGAGGACGTTGAGAAGTACGAGGTTGTCGGAGAAGAGAGGAGGGGCGTGTTGAGGGGCCCGGGGGCGGCGGAGATGGATCCGTCGAGGAGGAGGGCTGGCAAGATTGCCCAGTTCAAGATGGAGAAGGAGATCAAGACCACGCTCGAGGTGCGCACATTGTCGCTATGGCTTTCCGAGACGATGTCGACGTCTGTTATGCCCGCAGGAACTCCGCACGCGCCGACGGAAACGCCGAACTCGCGGTTCTGCCCTTCGCGTCTCGTCCAGCTCCTCCTCTTCGTCTTCCTCAGCCCCCGCACCGACTGAAGAACTCGACGACTACCCCTCCTCATCAGACGACGAAGACGCAACCGAATCCGTCGCGCGACCCCTACTCCTCAACCTCCTCACACTGCACTATATCCGCTCGCACGCCGAGCTGGGCAGTATCGAGCAAGAGATCGAGATCGTCGACCATGGGATGAAGATGAGTGAGATCCCGAGCCAGGGACCGGGGACGGCGGCGGGACTGAATGGCGACAAGCGGATTGCGCATACGGGCGAGAAGGAGAAGGATGAGGAGGAGAGCCGGTGGAGGCTTGATCGGCTGCCGGAGAAGGACGCGGGACCGGTGCTGTCGCCTGATGGCAAAGTTCTGCGACCGTTCACCATCCTCCCCTCGACTTCATCCACAGACGCCCTCTCGACTCGCCTGCGCCTCCAGTCGGAGATCTTCCGCCCCTCGCACCGCTTGCCAACGATGACGATCGACGAGTTCCTCGAGCAAGAGCAAGAGCGAGGGAACGTCTTGCAGGGCGGGGGGCCGAAGACGAGCGACGAAGTTGAGCAGGCGAGGAAGGACGAGGCGGCGGAGGAGGGCGAGGACGATACGGCTGCGGGCTATGCGCGCGAGGAGGCGGGCTTGAGGAAGAAGAGGGAGTGGGACGACTATACGGATCAGCATCGCAAGGGCGAGGGGAACATGTGCGTTCGCCCGCCGCTTTCCCTCTCTCTGTCGCCGCTCTTGCTGACGCCCTTCGCCTGCCATCCGCAGGATGAACCGAGGGTGAGGCACAGCCTCCTGAGAGGCACTTTGCACGGGTCAGCCATCGAGCCGACAGCAATTTCTTGCAAGATGAGCGACTCGCCCTTCCCTCACTCGCGTCTCGCACTGCCCCGCTTGCTCGACCGCTGTTGCGCTTTATTGTTGCTTCAGAAACCGAGACCAGCAGAGCAGAGAGAGCACCGTTCGAGTTTGCCAGGTGACCCCCGTTCAGAGGAGTCCTGGGAGACCTCGGCAGGGTTGCGACGCTCTTGCTCTTCTTCACTCGCCTCGTCCGTCGCTGGACTTGCTTTGCACACTCGCAGAGACCACCAGCTTGGCTTGCACACCGCGCTCTAGCGCCACGCAGCCGGCGCGCCCTCACGAGACCCACCCCCCGCTTCATCAGTTCGTCTCCACCTCGCGCGACACACCGCACGACACACCGCTTCCCAGGTAGCGCAGATTCGCTGGAACGCTGGCAAGATGTTCTACTACCTGTGCAAGGTCGTCTGGTGCGTGATCGTCCTCTTTCGACGGAGTGATGTCCGCTTGTAGTCCAGGCGACGAGGGGACGGAAGTTGTGTCGGGGTCAGAGGGCGACTGGACCTGCTCGCTGACACCAGCATTCAAGTTCTTGCCCCATTGTCGCTGACGGTTCCCGCTCACCGTCGCAGCACCACCTCCTCAATCCTCTATCCCCTCTTCGCATCGTACAAGGCCCTCCGCCCTCCGCAATCCGTCGGCCGGTCGCAGCAGGAACAACACGAGCAGATGGAGAGGTGGCTCATGTTTTGGTGCGTCATGGCGGGCGTGTGGGTGTGGGAGGACTGGGCTGAGTGGAGCGTGAGATGGTGAGTCGCTCGTTTGGCTTTCACGCATCTGCGTGCTAGGTACTGCTTGAGCAGTGCCTCCACGTTGTGAGGCGAAGAAGGGGCAGCTCACGATGGTTTTGTTTCCAGGTTCCCGTTCTATCACGAGGTCAAGACGCTCGCGATCCTCTGGCTCGTGCTCCCTCAAGTCCAGGTCAGTCTTCCGGCCATCTTTGACGCACATGGCGATTCGAACGAGCTGTCGCATGCTAGGGCGAGTCCGACTTGTACTGACACCAGACTCGCCATCACACAGGGTGCCAGCTACATCTACATCAACTACCTCTCGCCCTTCCTGACCGCCCACGAAGCCGACATCGACGCCGCCCTCTCCGACGCCCGCTCTTCCGCCACCCGCATGGGCCTCAACTACCTCCAGCTCGCTCTCCGCAAACTCCGCGCCGCCGTCCTCGGCTCCTTCCTTGCCGAACAAGA